ATGAAGAAATTGATGTGTATATATATAGAATGGAATGTTAGTCATAAAAAAGAAAAAAATTTTGTGGTTTGTGGCAAAATGGATGGACCTTAAAGACATTATGCTAAGTGAAATAAGACAGAGAAAGACAAATACTTAAGGATCTCACTTTTATGTGGAGTCTGAAAGATGACAAAAATTGAGCTCATGGATATGGAGAATAGATTGGTGGTTGTCAGTGGCAGGATGGGCAAAATGAGTGAAGGGGTTAAAAAGTACAAACTTCTAACTATAAAATAAGTAATTCATGGAGGTGTAATGTATAGCATGGTGACTGTAACTAATAATCATGTACATGTGAGAGTTGCTAAAGAGTAGATCTTAAAAGTTCTCATCACAAGAATAAAAATGTTTTGTAACTATGTGTGGTGATGGATGTTAACTAGACTTACTGTTATTATCATTTTCAACATATGCAAATGTCAAATCATTACATTGTATACCTGAAACTAATGTTATAGGTCATGTCTAAATTTAAAAATATTAAGCATACTAAAAGGCAGAATAACACAATTTGGAGAGACATGGAAAGTATCAGAACCAAATATGACAGGGATGTTAGAATTATCAGAACAGGAACTTAAAAAAAAAGACACATGTTTAAGATTCTAAGGGGTAAGTAGACAACATGCAAGAACAGATAGGCAATGTAAGTAGAGAGCTAGAAATACTACCTCTAAAAAGTAGAGAGAACAAAAATGGGGGAAAAAAAGAACCAAATACCTAAGAACTGTGGGAAAATTGCAAGCATGTAACATGCAGATTGATGGAAATAGCAGAAAGTGAAGAGAGAAAATAATACTTGAAAACTTATGACTGAGAATTTCCCCAAATGCATGTCTAGACACCAAACCACAGATCCTGGAGCTCAGAGAATACCAAGAGGAATAAATGCACAACAAATGGACTGTCACTTCAAATGACAGAAAGTCAGAATTAAAGAAAAACCCTGAAGGAAACCAGAGGAAAAAATAACTTCACCTATAGAAGAATAAAAATAAGAATTATGTCCAGCTTCTCCTCAGAAACTATGACGTGATAGTGGATTGAAACATTTAAAAAATTTAAAACATTTAAAATCTTGAGAGGGAGAAAAAAAGTCAGCTTAGAATTATGTACCCTGCAAGATTACAACACTCAGTTGTGAATGTGTCTGGTGGTGAAAGTCCGATGCTGTAAAGAACAATATTGCACAGGAACCTGGAATGTTAGGTCCATGAGTCAAGGTTAATTGCATGTGGTCAAGCAGGAAATGGCAAGAGTGAAGACCAACATCTTAGGAATCTGTGAACTAAAATGGATGAGAATGAGCAAACTTAATTCAGATGACCATTATATCCACGACTGTGGGCAAGAATCCCTTAGAAGAAATGGAATAACCCTCATAGTCAACAAAAGAATCTGAAATGCAGTACCTGGGTGCAGTCTCAGAAGTGATAGAATGATCTCGATTTTATTTCTAAGACAAACCATTCAAAATCACAGTAATCCAAGTCTACACCCCAACCACTGATGCCAAAGAAACTAAAGTTGAACTTGTATGAAGAGCTACAAGACCTTCTGGAACTAACACCAAAAAAAGATGTCCTTTCCATCATAGGGGATTGGAATGCTTAGTAGGAAGTAAAGAGATACCTGAAGTAATAAGCAAGTTTGGCTTTGGAGTACAATAAATCAGGGCAAAGACCAAGAGTTTTGTCAAACTCTTAGCATGTTTTGTCAGAACACGCTGGTCATAGCAAACACTCTTTTCCAATGATACAGGAGATTACGCTACACATGGACATCACCAGATGATCAATACTGAAATCAGATTGATTTTATTCTTTGCAGCCAAAGATGGAGGAGCTCTATACAGTCGGCAAAAACAGGACCTGGAGTTGACTGTGGCTCAGATCATGAACTACTTATTGCAAAATTCAGGCTTAAATTCAAGAAAGGAGGGAAAACCACTAGGCCATTCAGGTATGACCTAAATCAAATCCCTTATGATTACACAGTGGAGGTGATGAATAGATTCAAGGGATTAGATCTGGTAGACAGAGTGCCTGAAGAACTATGAATGGAGGTTTCTAACATTGTTCAGGAGGCAGTGACCAAAACTATCCCAAAGAGAAAAAAAATGTAAGAAGGCAAAATGGTTGTCTGAGGTCTTACAAATAGCTAAGAAGTGAAAGACAAAGGAGAAAGGGAAAGATATACCCAACTGAATGTAGCGTTCCAAAGATCAGCAAGGAGGGATAAGAAAGCCTTCTTAAGTGAACAATGCAAAGAAATAGAGGAAAACAATAGAATGAAAAGGACTAGAAATCACTTCAAGAAAATTAAAAATACCATGCAAGGATGGACACAATAAAGAACAGAAACAGTAAGGACCTAACAGAAGCATAAGAGATTAAGAAGAGGTGGCAGAAATACACAGAAGAACTGTATAAAAATAATCTTAATGACCTGGATAACTGTGATGGTGTGGTCACTCACCTAGAGCCAGACATCCTGAAGTGTGAAGCCAAGTGGGCCTTAGGAAGCATTACTACAAACAAAACTAATGGAAGTGATGGGATTCCAGCTGAGTTTTTTTCAAATCCTAAAAGATGCTGCTGCTAAAGTGCTGCACTCAGTATGTCAGCAAATTTGAAAATCTCAGCAGTGGCCACAGGACTGGAAAAGGTCAGTTTTCATTCCATTCCCAAAGAAGGGAAGTGCCGAAGAATGTTCAGACTACTGTACTACTACTCTTATTTCACATGTTAGCAAGGTTATGCTGAAAATCCTTCAAGCTAGGCTTCTGCAGTATGTGAACCAAGAAATTTCAGATGTGGAAGATGGGTTTAGAAAAGGCAGAGAAACCAGAGATCAAATTGCCAACATTCATTGGATCATGGAGAAAATAAGGGAATTCCAGAAAAACATCTACTTCTGCTTCATTGACTATACTAAAGCCTTTGACTATGTGAAAGTCAGTCAGTCGTGTCCAACTCTTTGTGACCCCATGGACTATACAGTCCATGGAATTCTCCAGGCCAGAATACTGGAGTGTGTAGCGATTCTCTTCTCCAGGGGATCTTCCCAACCCAGGGATGGTACTCAAGTCTCCCACATTGCAGGCAGGTTCTTTACAAGCTGGGCCACCAGGGAAGCCGATTTGACTGTGTGGATCGCAACAAACTGGAAAGTTCTTAAAGAGGTGGGAATACCAGACCACCTTACCTGTCTCCTGAGAAACTCTATGCGGGTCAAGAAGCAACAGTTAGAACCAAACATGGAACAACAGACTGGTTCAGAATTGGGAAAGGAGTACAACAAGGCTGTATATTGTCACCCTTCTAACTTTACTTACATGTAGAATACATCATGCAAAATGCCAGACTGGATGAATCACAAGCTGGAATCAAGATTGCCAGAAGAAATATCTATAGCCTCAGATATGCAGATGATACCATTGCTAAAGAGCCTCTTGATTGAGGGTAAAAGAGGAGAGTGAAAAGTCTGGCCTAAAACTCAACATTCAGAAAACTAAGATCATGGCATCTGGTCCCATCACTTCATAGCAAATAGATGAGGAAAAAGTGGAAACAGTAACAGATTTCATTTTCTTGGGCTCCAAAATCACTGCGGATGGTGAGTGCAGCCATGAAATTGAAAGATGCTTGCTTCTTGGAAGAAAAGCTATAACAAACCTAAACAGCCTATTAAAAAGCAGAGACATCACTTTGTTGATAAAGGTCTGTATAGTCAAAGCTGTGGTTTTTCCAGTAGTCATCTACAGATGTGAGAGTTGGACCATAAAGAATGCTGAGTGCCAAAGAATTGATGCTTATTCATACTATGGTGCTGGAGAAGACTCTTGAGAATCCCTTGGACAGCAAGAAGATCAAACCAGTCAATCTTATAGGAAATCAGTCCTGAATATTCATTGGAAGAGACTGATGCTGAAGCTGAAGCTCCAATACTTTGGCCACTGATGCAGTGAGCTGACTCATTGGAAAAGACTCAGATGCTGGGAACGACTGAGGGCAAGAGGAGAAGGTGGCAACAGAGGATGAGATGGTTGGAGGGTATCACTGACTCAACGAACATGAGTTTGAGCAAACTCAGGGAGATAGTGAAGGACAGGGAATCCTGGAGTGCTGAAGTTCATGGGGTCGCAAACAGTTGGACTCAGCTTAGCAACTGAACAACAACAAGGACTGAATAGGTGGAGCACAGAGGATTTTTTAGGGCAATGAAACACCCTGTGTTTTCACAATGTCAGTCCCATAAGGTGTATACCAGTAAATGAACCCTAATGTAACCTCCGTGGACCTTGATTATGATGTATCCATATAGGTTCATGATTATAACAAATTACCATTGTTGTACAGGATGTTACAGTGTGAGAGGTGGGATGGGAGATGAGGGGCTATGTGGGAAATCTCTCTACCTTTTCTCTAAATTTTGCTGTGAACCCAAAATTCTTTTAAAACTGAAGTCTTCAGAAAGTTACTTTACAAAAAAATTTGAGGATCACTGGATGATATAAAAACAAGTTTCTTTCTCGTAGAACTTCTCAGAACCTTTGTTATGCATGTGATTCTCCAAGAAGGGAACAATACATGCAGTTTCTTAAACTGTGAAGCTGTCTGAGGAAAACTGAGAATTTGAGATACAGTCTTTCATTAAGGGGAAATCAGGACTTCTAAAATACTTAGAAAAACAAAAGATTTAAACATCCTCCAAAAAATTGATTATTCTCAAGAAAAAATGTTCATGTGTAAGATAACCTTTTGACAATGATGTTTGATAACACTCTGGGATGAGGAAATAATGATGTTACTTTTTTGTCTGGAGATTTTTTAAATCCAGATTTCTCTCTCTTTCTGGAATGTTTTCTTTTTAATAAAGAAATAACAGAAGGAGTCCCTTCTGTCCCCTAATTTTTAGTAGTAAATTTTAATTACAAGTTTTACTTTTTCTGTTAGGTACAATATTTAGATCATGGATTCACTGAGAAGATTCCACAGTGTCATCTTTATCCTATTTTACTGTATCCTGATGCACCCCAATTTTGTATTCCTTGTCAGCTCTATAACACCGTACCTGTGAGTAAACAGTGATTTGTAGGGTGGAATTTTAAGTACTGCCTTTTTATTAATAATAATTTTTAGAAATTGGAATGTAAAATGAAATCCCTTTTAGTAAATAGTAAAATATTTAGAAATAAGCTTACTAAGACAGCTAAAGAGCCTTTATGAAGAAAACTACAGGATTATACTAAAGGGTATAAAAACAGTGAATAAATTTAAGAGATACAGTTTCTTCATAGATGAGAATTTTATTTGAGGTTATCAATTTTTAGTTATTGTTTCAAGAAATTGGAAGCAGGAGCAGAGAAAGTAATGGCATATTATCTCTTGCTGCATAACAAATTAAGCTTAAAATTTAGTGATCTGAATCAGCAATAAGCTTTTTAAAAATTTCATACAGTTTCTATGATTCAGGCATTGGGAGCAGCTTAACTGAGTGGTTTTAGCTTAGAGTCCCTGGTGACACAGCAGCAAAGAGGTGCACCAGAAATTCAGATCCAAAGAACTGACAGATAAGGATCTACTTCCAGATGTTCACTCACAGGGCACTGGCACTAAGCTGGGGCTTCTCATGGGCTTTTGGCAAGAAGCCCCCATTCTGGCTATGTGAACTTCAACATAAAAGGTAACAGTTGCTTCCCTGCTGGCTCAGAAATAAAGAATCTGCCTGCAGTGCGGGAGACCTGGATTCGATCCCTGGAGGGGAATGGTTAGACGCTCCAGTATTCTTGCCTGGAGAATTCCATGGACCGAGGAGCCTGGTGGGCTGCAGTCTGTGCAGTCACAAAGAGTTGGACACAACTGAGCGACCAACACTTTCACTCACTGTAGTTATTATACAACATTGCATTGACATGTTGGTCTTTTTTTTTTTTTTTAAGTTTTATGATGCTTTTTTTTTTTAGGTCTTCCCTGTAGTTCAAACAGTAAAGAATCTGCCTGCAATGCAGGAGACCCGGGTTCAGTCCCTGGGTTGGGAAGATCCTCTGGAGAAGGAAATGGCAATCCACTCCAGTATTCTTGCCTGGAGAATCCCACGGATAGAGGAGCCTGGCGGACTACAGTCCGTGGGATCACAAAGAGCCGGACATGACTGAGCAACCAGCACCATCACTAAACATGATGCTTTTTGGGAGGGTGTAGGTTTATATTTTTAAATCATAAAATGCTTTAAGAGAATAATATTTGAGGAGGATGATATAAATTATTAGTTTCTTTTTTTAATTAATTTATTTTAATTGGAGGCTTATTACTTTACAATATTGTAGTGGTTTTTGCCAAACATCGACATGAGTCAGCCAAGGGTGCACGTGTTCCCCATCAAGAAACCCCCTCTCACCTCCCTCCCCATCCCATCCCCCAGGATCATCCCAGTGTACCAGCCCTGAGCACCCTGTCTCATGCATCGAACCTGGACCGGCGATCCTCTTCACATATGATAGTATGCACATTTCAACACTACCCTTTCAAATTATCCCACCCTCACCTTCTACCACAGAGTCCAAAAGACTGTTCTTTATATCTGTGTCTCTTTTGCTGTCTCGCATATAGGGTCATCGTTACCATCTTTCTAAATCCCATATATATGCATCAGTATACTGTATTGGTGTTTTTCTTTCTGACTTACTTCACTCTGTATAATAGGCTCCAGTTTCATCCACCTCATTAGAACTGATTCAAATGCATTCTATTTAATGGCTGAGTAATATTGCATTATGTGTATATGTGTGTGTGTGTACCACAGTTTTCTTATCCATTTGTCTGCCAGTAGACAATCTAGGTTGCCTCCAAATTATTAATTTCTTAAGATTTTCTTTATTATATACCCATGATTCTCTCTGCAAACTGCCTGTATATTTTGTCCTCCTCTAGTGTTATCTGTTTATGGCTACTTTTATGTATCTTCATTTACTTTCTGCTCTTATCTTGTGAAAGAACCTGAGTTTATTAATCCCAAATAGGTTGGGAATGTCTGGCAACCAGATGCAGTAGAACTCCTTCAAGAGCTGCTTTCAAAGAGAGAGGTGGAAATTCACATTATGGTAATTTGCATTTAAAGTATATATCATTGATTTAGTTTATCTGTCATAAAGTGTTACAGGTAACATAATTTGTGAGGTTTTTTTTAATGAAGAACTATGTTCCTATGTGATTGTAAACTACTCATTAATGTAAAAAAGTTACCACTTTGGTTCCTAGGCTCGTTTTAAATAGGCTAATTTTGAGAAAGTTCCTGAGAACTTCCCAGAAGCAAGAAAGTCAGTAATTTGGAAGATCCCTTATTAACAACTTATTTTGACATGGGAGGAAATGGAGCTGTTTATGAAAACACACATGGTAGTTTTCAGGATGGTGCTGTGTGTGTAGCACTGTGTTAGGTGCAGGTAATTCTCGCCCTCAAAGGCCTTGTCTACTTAGTGAAACAGTGAGACACAAGACAAAAACCTGAAGACTTTACACCACAAAGAACTTGCTGGGAACTGGTGACTGGTAAAAACAGTTAAGTGTAAGAGGAATGAAAGAATGGGAAAGTTAGTGAAGTTCTCCTGACCAGAGAAATGCAGTGTTCAGGTAGGCACGGGGACAGAAATGGACATGTCTTGAGGAGATGTGTTTCCTAGAACAGTGGAAGTTTTGTGAGGAACAGTGGTGGGAATAGTGTACGTGAAGCAGACATCAGTCAAGAGGCCCATTGGAGGTTCCTGAGCAGTGAAGTAAAGAGAAGATTAACCAACATCTTGTTTGAGGATTCCAGTAGGAAAATATAAAACCATAAGGAAGTATTTCTCTATGAAAGGTGTGATGATAGGCTGACAAAGATCTTAAAAGAGCCACAGACACAAATAAGATGGTGGAGAAGCCTTTACAATTGTTCACAGCCTCTGTGGGCTATCCTGGAGGTTCCTCAGATGGCACTGTTGAGTTTATGCAGGTTGGCTTACTTTGCTGCTTGGCTTAGCCTTGGAGAACAGCATGGAGTGTACCAAAGGCCCTCAATTTCTCAGAAACCATGCCGGTGCTGCCTGCATCCCTGCTACCGTAGCTGACCTCCCCCAGAAATGCCACTCTGCCTGACAACTGATGGCACTGACCGGGTGTTTCTCACCTGCTGGACACTGTTTTTGGCCTGCAGATGCAGCAAGAGTCAGAGGGTCATAAACTCAAGTCTTCGTTGAGCTTCCATTTTAGTGATGGGAAACAAAACAAACAAAAATATATATATACACACACACACATAGGGAGAGGTGGGCAGGGGAGGGATGACATTTTAATACAGTGGTCAGGGAAGACATCCCTAAAAAGATAAAACTTGATTAAAACTTTTAAATGGTGAGAAGAGATGCCGCGCAGATAGCAGAACAGTGCAGAGAGCTCTAGGCCAAAGATGCCTGGAGCATTCAGGGAGCGGGAGCAGACTGGGAAGGAACTGGAGTAGGAGAGCAGAGAGAGCTGCAGTGGATGTGATCTGACCTCGTGTGCTGTTTTCATTCTGAATGGTGGAAACTGGACAAGAGAGAGAGGTATAAGCAGGAGATCTGCTGGGAGGCAGTACACTAACTCAGCAGAGACCTGAGTTTGGACCAAGTTGGTATCAAGTGAGGGACGGTCAGCTCATCACTCAGGTGCTTGTTAGGTACCTGATATCTGTAAATGGACCCCCGAGTTTTAAAACCATTTATGACTCCTGGACTTGTTAATTTCTTCTGATTCCTACCATTTGGGGATTTTTAACTAAATTTCATTGCTTTACCCCTGAGCATACTTTTTCTTTCTCCTCCTACTTACTATAAATTATTAGTATCATCTAAAGATGATGTATAATATATTATTTTCTGATAACTAGAAAACTCTCTACCTTATAGGCATGTAAATGTATTTAATAACTACCAAAGTAGTAGAATTATTGCTTCATTATCTGCCAAAATACCAGGAAGGAAATTTTACAAAATGACTCATTAGTCAAACAAGTAATACTGTGATTGTCAGAAGTCCAATTCCATTTTTGCTGAGTATAAAGTTTTAATCTTCAGACTGTTTTTATAGTAATGATCTCCTTTATTGAACTTAAATAGGAACTACCAGAAAATCCATGGGGGAAATTATCTATTCATCTCTATTTTGATGGAATGTCACTTTCTTATTTTTTGGCACACCATAAATATTGCACTTTTGAACAATCTGAGGAAATATTGAAGGAAGTAAGTAAAGTATGTTTCTTTAAAATCTATACTATAAAGAAAAATATGGTTAAAAATTGTCATGTTTTGTCTCATGCCTCAAGTCTTCCATATAGTCCTACATGTCTGATTTGTTAAGAGAGCCTAGAGGATTTGTAATTCTTTATTGAGAAAGCTTAATAAATGTCCTAAAAAAACTTCTCAATTGCACTAAAATTCACTTAATGTTTCTGTATCTTCAAACCTAATAAGCTCATGTTCTCCAGCATTGTTTGAATGCAGATGTGAATGATAAAATCATAATGAAATTCGCTGCCAGAAATTGACTCCCAAGATAAAATTTTTTTTCTCATATTTGATATAACATTTTGCTCATTTTGCATGTAGGAACTCAGAGCCAGATTTTAAGCTTAGCTTCAGTAAACAGCCCATTCCAGTTGCCTGGTGCCTCTGTGTTTAATATCTTTAAAAAAAAATTAGCCTGTTATAGATATGGTTTCATATTGCAGGCTGCCACAACTATTTTATCAAAATAGGGTACACACCATAAATAATAGCATGAACATTTTATATAGCAAGATATTGTTAGACTTACAATTCACTTATTAGGTTTTTGAATATTCATTTTATCTGCAGTACACAACCAGACAGTGGGTGGTCAGTGCAGTGAAGGAAATTACTTTTTTCTCTCAAATGGAAAACTATTACATAACTTTGTACACATAATCCTCACAACCAGCTATTTCTGTTGAGCAGAGAAGTGTTTGGTTTGTGTGTGTATGTGCCCCTGTGTGTGTTAAAAGTGTTTCCTCTGTTAAACGGGTTTTATAAAGATCATTTAGTCTTTGCCAGATGTATGTACTCTTCACTGTGGACATTTAAAATGAAAGGTAAGAGCTCCCACTCTTATAAACTGATTACAGTTGTTGACATGCTTCTAGCATAATTTGAGGATTCTTCTTGTTGCAATGTTAAATTACTCAGAACACTAAATTTTCCCATAGTTAAGCTAAAATGAATGCCAACAAGAACATGCACACAGTTTTTGTGGGATGAAATGAAGGTGTCTTAAAACAATATTATATAGGTAAAGTTTTCATTGATAATACTATATTATTTCAGAATCCAACAGATTACAATAAAAAGCTTGAGGAAGAGAGATGGAAGATAAGGTTTGAGGTAAGTTTCAATCTAAATATTTTAAAAATTTGGATACTTCATCAATACAAAGAATTTCATTCAAGATCAGGAAGTAAGCATTTTCTTCTGTAACAGCTTTATTGAGAGAATTTATATACCATAAAATTTAACTTTTTAAAGTGTACAAGTACAAGCAGTGGTTTTTTAACATATTCACAGAGTTGTGTGATCATTACAGCTGTCTAATTCCACAACTTTTCATCTCAAAGAGAAGCCCCACACCAGCAGCAATCACTTCCTACCTCCCTCCACCCCACAGTTTCCTGGAAACTGTCTCTGTGGGTTTGCCTGTCCTGGACATTTCATAGAAAGTGAATTATATAGTACATAGTCCTTTGTTACTGGCTTCTTTCACTGACCATAATCAAGTTTGAATCATGTTGTATGTGTCCTTTTTATTGTTGAATAATATTCCATTATATGGATACACCACATTTTACTTATCCATTCATCAGTTGATGGACATTTGGATTGTTTTTACCTTTACAGATAGTAAATAAAGCTACTATGAACATTTGTGTACAAATTTTTAAGTGAATGTTGGTTTTTACTCCTCTTGAGTATAGACCTAGAAGTGGAGTTACTAAGTCATGAGAATTACACAGTCATATGACTGTGTTTTCCATTTTAAGAAACTGTGAAACTTATCCAAATGACTACAATAATTTACTTTGGTACTAGGATTGTACAAGGGTTCCATTTTCTCCATATCCTCACCAACACTTGTTATCTTGACTTGTTTCCTAGCCATCTTAGGATAGGTATGAAGATACAAGTCCCTTATCAGACATGATTTGCAAATATTTCTCTCATTCTGTGGGTTGTCTTTTCACTTTCTTGATGATATCCGTTGAAGCACCAAAGTTTTAAATATTGGTGAAGTCCAGTTTTTATCTTATTTTTTATTTTGTCATTTGTGCTTTTTGCTGTGCAGAAAGTGTTTTGATAAGTAAAATTTTATGATTTATAAGTAGAATTTTATTTCTATAAGGACTTCCCTGGTGGTCCAGTGGCTAAGACTCTGCACTGCCAAATGCAGAGGGCGCTGGGTCAATCCCTGGTCAGGAAACCTAGACCCCCACATGCTGCATCTAGACCCGGCCCAGCCAAATAAAAAAATTTGGCCCAGCCAAAAAAAAAAAAAATCCTTTTATAGAACTTAAGGGAGAGCACACTTTTCTGATGATTTTTAACTTAAACCTTCTTTGGCATTTCATATATTATTTTAGTTTTTATTATAAAATACATACTCTAAAAATGAATGCAATACTACAGAAATGTGAAAAGGAAAGAACTTGCCCCCATTCTACACCTCAAACACCCCGGTCCCACTGAGCAGTGTCAGTTTGTTAACCATTCTTCTAAAATATTATGTGTATATGTAAATATTATAATAATATGTAAATAAACATTCCTGTGGGTGGGGGGCAGTTAACATCTTTTTTTTTAGACAGGAGACAAAAGCATTCTAAAGATTTTTTGATTGCTTACCACATTTTGGTCCTGCTACAACAAAATTGTTTTGTGATAGTCTCAGCTAGCTTTTTGTTAAGAAAGTAAACTGGCATTGGAGTGAACTTTAATAATGTAATGGCTTTCTGTAATAGTCATTCTGAAATTTGAATTTATTTGTGCTGTTTTAGGATTTGCTTTTGCCTGAAACAGAGACTCCTATTTTACCACCATATTTGTCTTCATCTCTGCCTCCCCCTGAGGAACTCTATGCTGTTCAAGTTAAGCACGTTGTCTCACCCAGTGAAGTATGTAATTTCAGTAACACTGTTGGTTATGGTCTTAATTCTAGGATGGATTCTTCACATTTATATCTTCCTGACTTTATTAACAATTGCTGACCTCTAGTTTACCTACCCTATAGTTTCTTCTTCAAACATCTGTTTATACTTAGTAAGGCAACTGTTTCTTAATCACTTTTGGTTTTCCCAGTAATGTATAGCTCTTTAAATCAAATATTTAGATTTTTAAGTTTGAATTTACTGCCACCGAAGAAATCTCAGACGTCTCATTCCTCTGTCCTCTTCCTACATTGAACTTACGTATTCTTTACCCTGCTCTGTTTTTTCATACTATTTGTCACCTTCTAATGCACCACCACTTTTTTGCTGTGTCTGTCTACATCTCCCTACTAGAATGTAATTCCATGAAGATAGGGATTTTTGTGTTTTGGGCACTGGTATGTCCCTGGAATACCTAGAATCCTACCTGATAACATAGTAAGGCACGCAATAAATATTGACTGAGTGAATAAGTACACTAAAGAAAATTCAATTATATATGCTTGACTAACAAGAGAAAAAGAGATGACAAATTAAGTGGCAGTGCAGTCCTTCAGCTGTTTTTATACAGTAAACTATTCTTTCACAAGCGAGGAGAATTTACTCTATAATTTCATCAGAGAACATAGTAGTGTAACCTATTGTTGGTTTTTATAATGATTTTTAACTAGTTATTATTGTTGCAGAACAAATTACCCCAAATTTAGCAGCTTAAAACAACACACATGAAAGTCAGGAATCCAGGGTGTCAAGGTGTTGGAAAAGGGGTGTGCTGCTGCAGGATCCAATTCCAGAGCTTGGTGCTGGGCTCCTGCCCTGTGGGCCTCTCCTGGGCCTGCTGACATGCATGGGCCTGCTGACATGCATGTGCCTGCCCCCAGCGGACCAGGCACCACCAAGGCAGAGGCCACATCTTCTGCAGTCTGAGCTCAGTAGTCACATACCATCATGCTATGGCATTTTTCAGCCACAGAGAGCAAGTCTGGTTTGATATGCGGACTTAACTCTATAAGGACCATGGGGCCATTATTGGAGGCTTTCCTGCAGTACTTTTGCCCACATCATGAATACTGAAAGTTACAGAATTTGAATGTTTTTCCCTTCCGTTCCCCCAACTCAGGTATATATTTGCCTTGATTCTGTCGAAAGTTGTAGTTTGTTTAACCAGCACAGTGACACAGAAGACAGTGGAGTCGGCTGGGAATCTGAGTCCGAGAGCCTCGAGGAGGCACTGTGGAGGTTCAATAAGAATGTGGAGACATTCCCTCCTCTGACAGACTTCAGAACAGGTACCAGTCTTTCAGGAAAGTGGGATTCCTAATGAAATCATTGTTTTGTTTCAGTGCTTATGAGATTGAGTTGTTTCTAAGGTTAACTGGTATTTTTATTGCCCTCACTTTATACGCTTGGCCTCATGCCTTGGGGCACTTTGATTTTCCAAAGCTTAGGCCGCCTGTGAACACTGGACTGCATGAAGATGGCTTTTCTGAGCTTGAGGTTTTGCCCGTAGCTCAAAATTGTGAGTTGTTATTTAGATCTAAATGGCACTTAATTTCATTACAAGCCACCAGGAGAATTTTGGTGTGAGGGCAGGGAAATTCACATTGTGTCCTGTCTTGTCAGGATGGACAAAATTCTGCTTTTTCCCTTTCTTATATATATTACCATCCTTTATTAAATACATGGGATTCTCCTACGAGGAAAATGCATTTCGTTACCTGTGGTGATAGTTTCTGAAATACTGAGTGGTGTCTGTATGTTTTATCCATGTCATGTATAGAGATGCATTCATCCTTGTAGTTTGTATTTATCAGAGGATACTTTAGCAAAGGAAAGCTAGAGCCTAATGTCTTATCTGCTACTTAGTAAGATTTTAATCACTTGTGACCCATGTTTGGCTGATAAACAACACTTGCCCTTTTCCCTGCCTGGAAAGTTCTGGAATGTATAGCAGGACCACTGCTCTACTTTCCCCTACTGCAGGTCTTCTTCCCTGGTGCTCTTCCTCCCCCACCCCCCAACCTCCCTCCTCTCCTCTCCCCTTTCCTTCTCCACCACCTCCTCTGCCCTTGCCTCCTCTCCTAGGAAGGGGCACTGTGAGCAGGAACACTTTGTACTGCAGTGTCCCCAGCTTTTGAGGAAGGCAACTTGCACAAGTAGGTGCTCATAAATATTTGTTGAATGAGTGAAAGAATATACTCTATCATTTTTTCTTTTTGTAAACTAATTTATAGTCTAGAAGAAATGATTCCTTCCTCGTGTTCTTCTCTCAAGGGAAGTTACACAATCTGTGCATGATACGGTAATTCATGGAGCTATCTATACATATATTGTTTGTGCATTTTTCTATAGTTATTCTTGAATTAAAGTTAAGTATGCATACATAAAAGTTGATTCATAGGCAAATGCCTATTAAATACATAAGGAATCTGTTTGGGTAACACATTGAGGATATGTGATTAGAGTGGGTTGGGAGTATACGGTTCAGAACCTTGTAAATTGCAGTCTAAGAACTTGGTACTGCAAACAGTTAAGATGCCATTGAAAAATGTTAAACTAGAGAGCAATGGAATTGCATTGGAGGAGGGGAGAATTAAAAGTGGAATAATAGAAACCATTTTACTATCCTTTGCAGAAGACAGCTGCCCAAAAGAAAAAAATTGGGGGCATATAAGAAGTGGGAGGAGTGGGAGGATGGTCTAAGCCATGGGAGGTAGAACTAGGAACTCTGAGAATGGGATAAATGTCTTTCTTCAAATGTTTTCCTAATTTAGGGATTAGGAAAAACAGGGTATATAAACAGAAAAAAGAGCACAAGCCAACATATGGCTATTGAGTGTTTAATTCTGAATAACGGGTATATGGGGATTATATCTTCTTTGTACTTTACTGTATTTCAAAACATATCTTTAAGAAAATAAAAGGCAATGTAATTTTCCCCTTTTTCTGTCTTTTCAGAAATGCCTTGCCTTGCAGAATATGATGATGGCTTATGGTATAGAGCAAAGATTGTGTCCATTAAAGAATTTAATCCTCTAGCTGTCCTGGTGCAATTTGTTGATTATGGATCAACTGAAAAGCTGACAGTAAACAGGTTAAAAAACAAAAAAGTAAATTTAGTTAAATTAGGATTCTTAGTTCTATTTTTTTTTTAATAATTAAAAAGATTTTACTTCAAAAAGCTATTTTAGAGCTACTATTGGGAGTTTGTTTTCACTCTAAAAGTTATTCTTTATTGTGGTAGAATGTACATAACATAAAATTTACCATGTTAAATTTTTTAGTTTTTAAAGAAAAAAATTACTGTCATTCATTTTTAAGTATACAATTAATTGACATTAAATACATTCACAGTGTTGTGCCACCACTGCTATTGTCCATTTTCACAAATTTTTTCATAATCCCAAACAAAAACTCTGGACCCCTTAGTAACATTCTGTTCCCTTTCCCTCGGCTCCCAGTGAGTCCTCTTCTACTCTGTATGAATTTACTTATTTTAAGTTCTTCATTCAAACATAATCATACAATATTTGCCTTTTTATGTCTGGCTTATTTTACTTAGAATAATGTTTTCAGAGTTTATCCAGTTGTAGCATGTCAGAATTTCACTACTTTTACAATTAAGTAATATTCCATTGTACGTATACACCACATTTTGTTTATTCATCTGTTGATGGACACTTGGTCTGTGAATAATACTGTGGTGAACACTGACATAAAAAGATCCATTTAAATTCCAGCTTTCACCTGTTTTAGGGTATGTACCTCAAAATGGAACTGCAGGATCACATCGTAATTTCATGTTTAACTTTTTGAGAAAATGCCAAAGTTTTCCATATCAGCTATACTATTTAACATTTTTATCAGCAACACACAGGAGTTCCATTTTCTCCACATCCTTGCCAACACTTATTTTTCCAAGTTTTGTTGTTATTTGTAATTATTTTTTTAATAATGATATAATACATATATAAAATCTATCATCTTAACCATTTTTAAATGTATAGTTAAGTAGTGTTATCTCAATTTACATGGTTAGTGCAACCAATCTCCAGAACCTCTTCACTTTCAAAACTTTGTACCCATTAAATGATTCCTCATTGTCCCTTCATCCAGCCCATCAGCCACCATTCTGCTTTCCACCTCTATGAATTTGATTATTGTAGGTATATCTCACATCTTTTTATAACTGGCTTATTTCACTTAGCATAATGTCAAGGATCAACCATGTTATAGCATGTGTTAGAATTTTCTTCCTTTTTAAGGCTGAATAACATTCCATCATATGTATTTAACACAGTTATCCACACACCCATTAGTGGATACTTGACTGTTGTGAATGATGTTATGAAAATGGACATACAGATATCTCTTTAAACCCTGCTTTCAAAAGTATACTGAGAAGTGGAGTCACTGGATAATGTGCTTATTCTTAGTATTTGGAGGAACCACCAAACCTCCCCAGCAGCATTTTACATTCCCACCAAAGGTCCAAAGGTTCCAGTTTCTTTCTGTATTCTCACCAACACTTGTTATCTTCTGGGTGGTATTTTGTTTTTTTTTTTTAATAGTAGCCATGCTAATGGGTATGAGGTGATATCATATCATATGGCTTTCTTTGGCATTTCCCTGATGATTAGTGATGTTGAGCATCTTTTCATGAGCTTGTTGGCCATTTACAGCCCTTTGGAGAAATGTCGTTTTTAACGTGAACATATTTTCTCTCATTCTGCAAGGTGCCTTTTCACTCTATTGATTGTGCCTTTTGCATAGTTTTAAGTTTTGATATAATCGAATTTTCTTCTTCTGTTGCCTGTGCTCTTGGTCTCGTATCAAAGAAATCACTGCCAAATCCAACATCATAAAGTTTTCCCCTAATTGTGACATTCTGAACATTTTTTAAAAATAGCGTTTTTTAAATTATTCTTTAAAAAAAACATTTTTAATTTTAGAATTTCTTTTGTGACAGACTGCGTCAAATCCCTCTTCATCTTATGCAGTATCCAGCCCGAGCCATAAAGGTTCTCTTGGCAGGGTTTAAACCACCCTTGAAAGATGTAGGAAAGACAAGAATACCATATTGTCCGAAGTGGAGCATGGAAGCATTGTGGGCCATGATAGACTGTCTACAAGGAAAACAACTTTATGCTTCTTCCATGGTAAGTATCTGTCTTAACTGACCAAGATTCTTTTGAAGCTATTTCAAGGATCTCTAGTAATTTTCTAAAGTGCTTTACATGTAAAATGCTTTAAAGTTTATAATGCTGTAAATACTATAGGATTAATTTTAAGGCTCGTTCAAATATGTCTTAGTTTATACATAACAAGCTTTTGATTAGCCCTGCAATGATATAAAATATCAGGGATGTAATGACTGAGATAAAAAAATTATCCAGATTAATATTCTATAATTAAAGAACTGGTAAGTCAATGAGGTTCTCAAGGCAAGAATACTGGTGGTTTGCCATTCCTTTCTCCAGGGGGCCACATTCTGTCAAACCTCTCCACCATGACCCATCCGTCTTGGGTGGCCCCAAACAGCATGGCTTAGTTTCATTGAGTTATACGAGGCTGTGGTCCGTGTGATCAGATTGGCTAGTTGTCTGTGGTTGTGGTTTCAGTCTGTCTGCCCTCTGATGCTGTCTCAGTGCCTACCGTCTTACTTGGGTTTCTCTTACCTTGGATGTGGGATATCTCTGCACGGCTGCTCCAGCAAAGTGCAGCCGCTACTCCTTACAGTGGCTGAACTCAAGTGGGTCTTAGGAAGCATCACTACGAACAAAGCTAGTGGAGGTGATGGAATTCCACTTGAGCTATTTCAAATCCTGAAAGATAATGGTGTGAAAGTACTGCACTCAATATGCCAGCAAATTTGGAAAACTCAGCAGTGGCCACAGGACTGGAAAAGGTCAGTCTTCATTCCAATCCCAAAGAAAGGCAGTGCCAAAGATTGCTCAAGCTATCACACAGTTGCATTCATCTCACAAGCTAGTAAAGTAATGCTCAAAATTCCCCAAGCCAGGCTTCAGCAATACGTGAACCGTGAACTTCCAGATGTTCAAGCTGGTTTCAGAAAGGGCAGAGGAACCAGAGATCAAATTGCCAACATCCACTGGATCATCGAAAAAGCAAGAAAGTTCCAGAAAAACATCTATTTCTGTTTTGTCGTCTATGCCAAAGCCTTTGACTGTGTGGATCACAGTAAACTGTGGAAAATTCTGAAAGAGATGGGAATACCAGACCACCTGACCTGCCTCCTGAGAAACCTGTATGCAGGTCAGGAAGCAACAGTTAGAACTGGACATGGAACAACAGACTGGTTCCAAATAGGAAAAGGAGTACGTCAAGGCTGTATGTTGTCACCGTGCTTATTTAACTTATATGCAGAGTACATCATGAGAAACGCTGGGTTGGAAGAAGCACAGCTGGAATCAAGATTGCCGGGAGAAATATAAATAACCTCAGATATGCAGATGACACCACCCTTATGGCAGAAAAAAGAACTAAAGAGCCTCTTGATCAAAGTGAAAGAGGAGAGTGAAAAAGTTGGCTTAAAGCTCAATATTCAGGAAACTAAGATCATGGCATCTGGTCCCATCACTTCATGGCAAATAGATGGGGAAACTGGCTATTTTTCTGGGCTCCAAAATCACTGCAGATGGTGATTGCAGCCATGAAATTAAAAGACGCTTACTCTTTGGAAGGAAAGTTATGACCAACGTAGACAGCATATTAAGAAGCAGAGACATTACTTTGCCAATAAAGGTCCGTCTAGTCAAGGCTATGGTTTTTCCAGTAGTCATGTATGGATGTGAGAGTTGGACTATAAAGAAAGCTGAGTGCTGAAGAATTGATGCTTTTGAACTGTGGTGTTGGAGAAGACTCTTGAGAGTCCCTTGGACTGCAAGGAGATCCAACCAGTCCATCCTAAAAGAGGTCAGTCCTGGGTATTCATTGGAAGGACTGATGTTGAAGCTGAAACTCCAATAATTTGGCCACCTGATGTGAAGAGCTGACTCATTTAAAAAGACCCTGATGCTGGGAAAGATTGAGGGCAGGAGGAGAAGGGGACAACAGAGGATGAGATGGTTGGATGGCATCACCGACTCAATGGACATGGGTTTGGGTGGACTCCAGGAGTTGGTGATGGACAGGGAGACCTGGCGTGCTGCGGTTCATGGGGTCACACAAAGAGTCGGACACAACTGAGCGACTGAACTGAAGTCAATGAGGGAAATGTCCTATTAGTAAACCACTAATAGAAGTAGAATGAATTAAGTGTTATCAAAGAAGTACAGATATTTGGGGGTGAGACGTAGGGAGAAGCAGGAATGATTTCTATCTGGAGAGACTGGGATATGGTATTTGAGCCCCTGCCCAGTAGAAAACCAAGTGCTTGTTGAATAAGTACGACAGGGGAGAAGTGACATTTAAACTGCATCCTAAAAGTTCAAAAAAGTAGAACAGAATTGTCAAAATCAGAGAAAGTGGTTTTCATGGTACTCATACTAAGTTTGAATTGTTTAATGTAATAGAACTGTATGAAAAGGTTCAAATAAGAAAATCCAGGTTATGCTCAGTATTAATACGCTTTCTACTTTAGAGGCTTAGACACAAAAGGGAGACCCACAGATTCTGACCTATACCCATGTTTAATAACACAGCTGTTTGTTTTTTTTTTATTAGTTGGAGGCCAATCACTCCACAACATTACAGTGGGTCTTGTCATACATTGACATGAATCAGCCATGGTTTACATGTGTTCCCCATCCCGATCCCCCCTCCCACCTCCCTCTCCGCCTGATAACACAGCTGTTTTAAAACTGGAAAATTATACACCAAAACTCTGCTGTTTTTAAATGTCATAAAATCTAGTATTTGTATATTTTATGTATTATAAAATCTAATATTTTATATATTTAAATATTATAAAATCTTCTGGAATGAGAGCACAAGTGGTGCAGCAACTGTCCCTTTAGATGGAAACATGTTCTTCAGTTCAGCTTCATCCTCACCAGTGTTGTTTCAGCCCAATTTGTCCTGATTTGGGGACCTGAGATTTGGGGATTTCTGATATGTTGGCTGTGGCAAAAATGAGCTCTTAATGAAGCAGTGCTGTTACTAAAAAGTGCTTTTTGAAAACCTCTGTACGTATCACACTCCTCTGTGTGCAGTAGTGTAAAGAACTTATGCAGGGTTTCTCTCAAGAAGCCAGTGAAAATACTAGCAGACCAAGTATTCTTACAAATACATGTGTATTCACCTCATGAACAACAATCGAAATGTGGTATGTGCATAAAGGTATGCTTTATGTGTACAGTGCAAATTAATTTTAACAAGGAAGGTACTATGAGAATGAGAGCCCATTGGCTCAATCCAGGAAAACTTTGGGGATGAGTTACATTTCAAATAAAGTAGAAGACGGAAAGAATGGAATTTAGCAAGAAACCATCACAAATACCTTTGAAAGTACACAGTACAAATTTATAAACAAACTTGGAGAATGCTTTGTCTCTCTTGCCAGCTATAGGAGGAACAGGCAGCAAAAACATGATGGTATTTTCTTGACAAAGATTTTTTCATTTTAGGCTCAGGTACCAGAACAAATGGTGACTTTATATGAAGATAAACAGTATCCAGTTCATATGTCATTAGTAGAAATGGGGCTTGCAGACCGAGATGAATGATGTAAGTACCATGACTTCTTGTTCATCCTTATGGTCAGCTTCAGGCACAGCACTGACACAGCAGAGGTTCACACTGTTCCTCTAAGGAATGACAACCAAGCTCAACAAGAATTTGTCTTCTAGATTTCTCCTTAACAGGCCCTTCTAAACTACTGAGTGCCAGTATCAGAAAGGTTCCATAGTTGTGAAAATGCTGGGACTGAACAGCTGTCCTGATTGTTCATGGTACCAGATAGTTACAGGGTCTAAGGAAGAGAGCAGCACTGAAAATAACTCAAGCTCATAACTCTTACCTCTGCATATACTACTGGACAACCAGTGTCCTGATAACAAAGATTATTAGGGTTAATCGGTAAATAGCTCACACGCTATCCATTCACGTAAGTCTAACACACAATTTAGTAACTAGATATGAACATTAAGCAGCGGTTTAAAATAACACATTTCTGTTTTTCAGGTATGCAGTACAGAGCATCTGTAGCAGCCCAGAAGAAAGTTTTCTGTTACAATGTAGACCATTTCAAGCTTATTTTCTTCACTTGTTCTGCAATCGTGCTGGGCTTTTTGTTTTTTTTTCCTTACATGTTGAACTGTTAAGAACGGTTTGAAAAAAGTTAATAAAAATTTGCTTTCAAGTATTTACTTATTTTAACTTTTAAATATTTTAGCCACATTAGGAAAAATATTTCCTATATATTCAGTTTAAGAAATAAGACATTGTCAGCACAGGTGTAGGCGCCTATTCTACCCTTCCCCAATCATTCTCTTACCTACAAAGGAGGTGAATACTGTGAATTTGGTGTTTCTTGTGCTTATATACCTTGGAGAAGGGCATGACAACCCACTCCAGTATTCTTGCCTGGAGAATCCGATGGACAGAGGAGCCTGGTGGGCTAATCCATGAGGTCACAAAGAGTAGGACACGACTGAAGCGACTTAGCACGTGCTTATATAGGTCTTTATAATTTTACTGTATATGTAGGCATCCATAAACAATATACAGTTCCGTATATTTTTAAGTGTGTGCAGTATCACACAGTTGCCTTTCCCCCTACTTTATTTACAGTATTTTATCCATACTGATTTATGCATAGCTCTGTTTTATTCACTTGCATTGTTACATCCCTTTGTGCACATAATTTATTCTGTTAGATCTTTAGGTTGTTACCAGTTTTTTCTCAATAAGAGTTATTCTACAGTAGGAGCCTCTCTGTACCTATGAGTGGTTTTCTAGTGAATATACTTACTAATGGAATTTACTAAGTTCTGAGGTAACTGTTTTTCATACTAACTCTACCATTAGTAGTCTTGAGTTCCTTGCCGACATGCAGTGTGACCAGACCATTATTTGCCAGTTTATGATACTACCATAAAGAGATACTTCATTTTTGTAATATGCATTCACTGGTTTAGTTGCTTATTGCTCATTCATATCTTTGGTAATTTTAACTAGTAAGGCTTCTTAATGTATTTGGGTTATTAATCCTTTGTCAGATAAGTGTATCTTTTTCTAGTCTGTGACTTCTTTTTGGGGTATCTTTGGACAAACTTGACTCATTAACTTCTAAAATTTGTGCTGTGTCTCATTTAAAAGTCTTTCTCAAGGCTGGACCTTGTGATCTAGGGGTTAGAATTTGGCACATTCATTGCTGTGGCCTGAGTTCATTCCTGAGTTGGGGTACTGAGATCCCAGAAGCTGTATAGCGTGGGCCCCCCAACCAAAAGCAAAAATGGCTTTCTATCCTGAGGTTACATAAATAAAATTCCTTATTTCTCTGAAAACTTTTTAACACTGCCTGGTTGTTTCTCAGGCCCCACCTTTCTCACGTGTCCTGTTTTGACCAGATATCACCCTCATTACAGCTGCTTTCTCCTCCCATGAGATCTGCACTCGCAGAATGAACTCTTCTTACCTGTTTGACTGATTTGTATAGTCCCTCATTGTTTTAATTTCCCATTCTATGACCTTGGTGATAGATACGATGCTTTAATTTCAGCACTAAGTATAGTAATAGTGAGTGGAGAAATGATTCCTCCTTCAGTGATGTTTCGAACATGACCTTGATAGGGCTGACAGGCAACAGGAAAATCTGTGTGATAAAAAACTATGTGATACTGTATTTCTTGTACTTCCTGGTTTTCATAGCCGTCACCAACCATAGAAAGCATCCCCTTATTAAAGTCTATGCTGGTTATGACCATAGAAGACAAGGGAGGTGAATTAAAAATGAAAGCTGCCCCTGTTCATTTCAGACATAAAAAGCAAGAAGTTTTATACTCCAAAGTCTTTTCTATTTATTTATATATACACAGAGACGCACAGACACAGAGTATATAAATTAAACCACAGAATCCACAAGAAATGTACATTTCTTTTTAACAAGAAAATCAAGTTAGTGTCATTTCATGATGAGTCACACAAGTTTCATGACAGTTTTGTGTCCATGAGAACATTACCGTCCTTGTCTTTCATTCTTACTCGACCAGATGTGTACTTGGTCTCTTGATGCCCATTTGCGTACACAGTTTTCACAGTGCCGTCTGGATACTCCCGTCTCTTGAACTGGGCCGTATGCAGTTCTCTTTGGCCATTGTTAAACTCTATGATTTTGTTGCCATCTCTGTAAATTTTAAATAGAATTTAATTCCTTTATAAAAACATGAAGATTATAGCAGGAGAAATCTGGCAGTTACTCCTTCTCCAAGAGCATCCCTGGTCCTTATTTTAAGGATAATGTCCCATTATAAAACAAAGCTAGGGCGCTAAAGTTGAGAAGTTGTCAACTTCTCAACACAGAAGTTAGAAGTTTTTCTATTTTGGTTATTTCTCAAATTTCGTATGAACACATATGTGGGTCCCTGCCACATACAAAGGTTAGAGAGCCACTGCTTTAGTAAGTGTGGCCCTGTGGTGTCTGCATCACCCAAGAGCTCACTAGAAATGCAAATTATTTGAGTGGGGCCCAGCAACAAGCCTTTGAACAGTCCCTCCAGATTCAGATGCACCCTGAAGTTTGAGAACCACTGCTGTAAGTGAAAAACTGCACAATTATCCTGAATGAATTGCACATTCAAAAGCTGCTAAGAGAATCAAGGTTTTTATCACAAGAAAAACATGTAATTATGTGTGATGATGGATGTTAACTAGACTTTTGTGATTATTCTGCAATATATACAAATATCTAGTAAATTTTTGTGGTATACCTGAAACTAATGTCATATTTCAGTTACACCTCAATTTAAAAATGATAATCCTGAATGAACTAATAACATGGGATGTGTCTGAATACAGACGAGAAAAGACTGGTCATGAGATTAAACAGATGGCTCTAGGGAACTTTTTGTAAGAGTCAAAATGGAGAAGTTTCTGAAATCTATTCTGTACACATAAGATCTTCCTCAAATTTTCTTTAGTTGAGCACCAGATACAGACCACCAGATTTCAGACCATAATAAGGGAAAAACAGCCATGACCATAAGGAGTTCCTACATTATTGCCAAGTTTACATCACATAATTCAAGTTAATCGGTACTTAACTGCTTACACTCCAGGAAAGGAGGGTGAAACTAAAAACAGGACTGGATCTGACAAACCTCTATTATGGTTTTAATTATATTGGTACCTATAAGATGCTCTTCACTCTTTTCTGACTTCAAGAAGTTTAACATTCAGAAGGATAAAGAAAGAAACTGTTAATTTGGAATTGGCTTAGAGAAGCCAGAAGAGTAAAGTGCTTAGGCTGGGACAGGGAGACCCAGAATATCAAAATACAAAGTCCAGTTATTCTTAAAAATTGACAGGGAAGCTTCCCTTCTGTGTCTCACTCACTGTTTCCAAATTTCACCAAACTTATTTCTAAATAAGTATCTGCCATCTTCCTTTCATGAAGTGCTCTTTACATATCCTTTAGAGCTCTAGACTAAACACTAAGCAAACGTTAGACTCCACTGGTCTCAAACTTGTCTTAAATTCTAAAGTGCTGCAAACACATCTTACCTGCTCTCAGATTCTGAACTCACTAAAATGTTGAATGACTTATTAAAGTTTAAGATTTTTAAACTTCATTACTAATTGAAAGTTGAAAACTAGAAACCAACTTAATAGGTAACATACCGTTGTACCCTGACAACTGTACCATCTGGGAAAACGCTCTCTTCTTGTCCATCAGCAAACAAGTTTTTGATAGTCTGGTCAGGAAATGTGATTTCTTTTCTTCCATCTGGGAAATGTTTTTCTATAAGAAAGGGGGTTATTATAAATATTTTATTTTTAACGGAAGGAAGAATTTAATAGAACTGAGAGGGTAGAACAGGTTCTCACCTATCTGGCCATTAGAGAAATGTAGAACTTCCAGCCCTTCTGGGAACGTGGTATGGGCAGTCTGCGTGGCTGCATAGTAGTAGATCTGTAAAGACATGCAGTCAGCACTGCTGCTCCTTCAGGGCTATTTATGCTATAGAGAAAACACACCTGTGGAAACCTACCACTCTCCCGTCTGGCATGATCTGCTTGATATCACCGTTGAAGAAAGTGACAGTAACGGTCTCCCCATCTGCACTCACTTCCTTTCGCGTTCCATTTGGAAACAATACAACATGGCACCCATTCTTATAAACCTTCTCTATCTACAAAAAAGAAAACCAAACTAGCAAAAATTTCCTGAGGCCACATGACAAAAACGTCCCTAATTCTTATAAATTGCCTACTTTAATATTTTTCATAATAAAAATTAAAACATCTCTCAGAGAGAAAAGTTCCAATTCAAAACAATCAACTTCACCTATTAGCACATCATGTCCATTCTTAAGTCACCTATTCCCCCCAAACTTTTCAGTTGTTTTTTTAGGCAAACTTCAGATTATCACTTCAGCTGTAAACACTTCAACAAATCTCTCTACTGGAACACTGTGAATTGTGAGGAATGAGTGAAGGACAAGACAAAGACCAGCAATCAGAAGGAAACTATTACCATCCCTAACAAACTGTAATTCCCTCATTATATCATAACCTTCACACTGTTTTTCATAAATTCACCAAAAAAAAAAAGGCTTTGTACGGTTTACTTGAATATGGATGAAAACAAACTCCACACACACTTGGGTTGATGTGTCTCTACAATCTCAATTTTTAATGGTCCCTTCCTTTCCCCATTTTAATGCCAACTGTTGAAGGAACTGAGTCACTGAACATATAATATTGACCACATTCTGGATCTGGCCAATTGCTTTTCTATTTTTGTGTCAGTTAACATGTTCTCATATCCTGTTTTTCCTTAAAAAACCCAGTAGTTACTCTAAAGGCTTGATTACATTCCAGGTGAATTATTCTGACGAATGCCTTTTAGGTATAGCAGTGGGCTCTGTATGACAATGTGTCCAGAAATTCAGTAAGTACGTAGCTGCCTCACGACCTCAGCACTGACTGGGTGGCATCATGAGACCTGTCAACCTTTCATCTGAGGTTTCAGCAGCTGCTGATGACTGCTGCCCAAGACCTTTCCTTTCATTAGACCTTGTACACTGGTGATATCCTAATATTCTCATTCCTCTTCGAAAAAAGAAAACACTTCCTCATCAACAATTTGTTACCCGAAAGTAGAGTGTTGCTTTTGAAGTGTGGTATTGGAGAAGACTCTTGAGAGTCCCTTGGATCGCAAGGAGATCCAACCAGTCCATCCTAAAGGAGATCAGTCCTGGGTGTTCATTGGAAGGACTGATGCTGAAGCTGAAACTCCAATACTTTGGCCACCTCATGTGAAGAGCTGACTCATTTGAAAAGACCCCAATGCTGGGAAAGATTGAGGGCAGAAGGAGAAGGGGATGATGGAGGATGAGATGGTTGGATGGCATCACCGACTCAATGGACATGGGTTTGGGTGGACTCCGGGAGTTGGTGATGGACAGGGAGGCCTGGCGTGCTGCGGTTCATGGGGTCACAAAGAGTCGGACACGACTGAGCGACTGAACTGAACTGAACTGAAAGTAGAGTGTACAGGAAAACTACTTTAGGATAGAGGTAACAACTTCCTTCTGATTGCTGGTCTTTGTCCTTCACTCATTCCTCACAATTCACAGTGAACTTCAACCTTCTCATTTCTATTAAAGTGGATCAAAGAACCTAGAGAGTACATGTTCTAGAAACCTAAGGAAAAATCCCCTCACCACTGCCTCAGTAACAGACCCTGTTTATGTCCCTTCCCTTGTCCTTCATTCTTTAACTGGAGCACCCAGCCAGGCTGTTCCCACTCAGAACCTTTCCCAAGCACAGGAATAATACTGTTGGGATGGAGCAGAGAAGCAGCTAATCCAGGAAATATTTAAGGAGGAGTAGGGCATAGAACTGAGGCTTTTACAAGTACAAGGGATTACCAAGGCATTCAGCCATATACGGAGCAAGAACAAGAGTTTCAACGATGGGACTGTACTCCTCCTCTTGTTGCATCTCTCAGTTAGAAATAGCAAATAAATGCATTTTCATTTATCAAGTGTTTTCAGAGTAGTCCAAAGGTTCAGGCTGAGGACATGTGCCAAAGCATTGAAGACCTTAAGCCCCATCAAGTCTCAAAAGTCAATGATTTCAGAATCTGTTTCAACTATATTTTAATCCATGTCTATTTTTTATAGAATTCATTTAAAAAAAAAAGGTAACCTTTCCATTAGGATGGCTGATTTCTCCCTGAATTTCCTCTTTTTCATCCTCCTCTTTATAATCAGGATCTGAAAAGTTCACTGGTTCAGGCAGCTCCCTGGGTGAGGCCGTCTATAAGGACAGGAGGCTCTTAGTCTGTGCTATATGACATGTAATAAAAATCTCAAGCAGCTAAAACTTAACACTTAACATCCAAAAGCCAGATGTCACCATTATAGGATTCTACGACTAGTGTTGCATAGAAAACCTTTATGATGTTAAGTAAAAAGCTTCCTTTATAAATGGTTTTGAAACTTAAACCAGTTCACTAATCAACTGTAAGCCTAAGAAATATGTCTGAATATATAAAAACAAAGATTTACCTGTCCCTTCTCTGAGCTGCCTAAATCACGAGGCTCAGACTTGGATCTTTGAGATGCACTGCCTGTCAGAATATTATTGCCAGTTAGTTTGATTATTTAATTGGAAGATTTAAGTTTACTCAATACTATGGTCAAACATTTCCTTAGTTCAACTCTTCTTTACCCATTATTTAAGAAAGTTTTAGTATTTTTCTTTACTAATTCCTAGTTCTTCATTATATAAATTAAAATGCTTATTCAAATACTTAAGTCCTGATGACCAAGACAGACAAAGACAGTATCTGTTTTCTGAAAGTTTACAACCTCTTTCTGGAGAAAGAAGTGCTCAACCAACCTAACAGATGAATCTGAAGGTGTTCTGGAGATAGTCACCAGGGCCTTTAGTTAAGAGGGCAGAAATGGAGAACAAAGAGTGGAAGCATCCAGAAAGACAGAGAATCTGGTTTGAAAAAGAAACTGGATAGACCTAATGGCTATGGTCTAAACTTTTTAGATCATGACCTATACACCCAACTGTATCGTGCATTAGGAAAACACACATTATAAAATAAGCACGCATGTGTGCATACGTGCACACATAGACACCACACCACCACAGCAACAACAAACCGAAGTTAGGTTTAAAAGGCACTGAAGTTCTAATATTGTCTTTCTATATGCCAATGGATAGTAGTCCTAAATTTGAAGGGTTTCAAGCTCAAGTGCCAGGATCTGACTTAAGTGTAAAAAACCAGAATGGATCCTGAGTGCTCCACGAATGGAGCAGAGCAGAGGCTGAGGGTCCACTAAGCAGGCATGGGCGTGTGTGGAGACAGCAGTGTGTGCTGTGTCAAACAACAGACCCAAGGAGCCCAAGTTGCCAGGTACTAGCAATGTCATACGGTTCAACCTACTTAATCGATTCAGAAAACATCAGAGGATTAGTTTAAGGATGGATGGGAATGTGGGGGGGGGGGGGGCGGCGAGTAAAGATAAAAGGAATCAAGGAGCGCACACAGGTTTTGGCTAAATGACCAACTTCCTCCATGTCACAGGCACAAAAACCACACTGCAGTCTGAGCTCTGTGTTAACATCACCTCTGAATCCTGTAACCACCCTCCACAGAAGAGACTAATATTCTCATTTTATAGGCAAAAGGACTACCCATAAAGAAGTGAAATTCAACTACATTAAAGAAATTGGGGAACTTTTAAGGTGACATCAGCATCATGGCAGTTAAGCCATTCCTCTTTCCCCTTAAACTAACTTGACATTTGTAAGTGAACAAAAGTGCCCCAGTGCCTTATACCCAGGGATCTGGGGGGATTCTTGCCCACCTGTGCATCTGAAGATAGACCAGACCTCAGCAGAAGCTGTGGACCCAGGGACTCAGCAAACCCGCCCCATTCCCACTCACCATGGGAGGAAAAACCTGGAGAGAGTGGACCTGAAGACATCCAGGGTAGACAAGCAGGCTACCAGCGCAGGACAGAGATGAGTTTGTACGCAGAGCAGAGGGAAACCCGACAGAGCTGCCCCCAACCCAGGGGACAGTGCACGGACCTGAGCTGTGTGGTGGTGGCAGATGATCTCTCCCGAGGAGGACATGGAAAGCTTGAGTGGGGAGTGGCTGCCCAGCCGCCTGCCATGTGGCTCAGAAGCCACTTTCTCTCCAGGAGCACCTGAACTTCTGAGGAGGGACTGGACCTCCACATCAGGGGAGTCAGGAAAAGAGGAGGAGAGCAGGTAAGAACATCACGGGCATGGAGGGATGAAGTTCCTGCTGTCCACTGCAGGACCTCTACTGGAGGTCCACCCATTCCACTCAAAGATCACCTCCTGGGTCCACGGGCACCTCAAAACCCTGAACCGACACCCCCACTGCTGCCAGCTCCTTGTGTGTCTGCGTGGAGTGCTCAGAAAATAGGCCACAGTCAGTCTGTGGACAGGGAAGGAAGCACAAACTTGACTGATGGCCCTACCTCCTGGAAAACAAAAGAAAGGTTTCTAGCAGCCAGCCTGGTGAACTGAAGGAACCAATGAAGTCATAAAAGCTTTGTTAAGGAAGTATCTGCTACTTCAAATTCTGGAGGTGAAGAATTCGATGACAGATGAAGAATGCCAACAGAGAGCATCTATTGCAGAGCAGACCAGATGGAAAAAACAAGTGACTTGGAAAACACGAATTCAAGAATAATACAGCTAGAAAAGCAGATGAAACTAAGAAAGCCAAAAAGAGCTATTGGATTCCCACTAGAAGGGCAAATACTTGATTTAACTATTGTTTCAGAAGAGGAGCAGTAGAAAGGGGCACAGAGTTTAAAGAAATCAGAGCTTTTATTATTTAAAGAAATAATAGTCAGAACTTCCTAAATCAATGGTAATAAACCTTCAAGACAGCCAGGGGAAAAAAAGAAGTAACTATGAAAGCACAGTCTTAGGCTCTAAGTGGATTTCTCAGCAGAAACCCACAGGCCAAGAGAGGAAAACGACATAGCCAAAGTATCAAACAAAAACTGCCCACCCAGACTACTTTATCCAGCAAAGTTATCCTTCAGATATGAAGGGGAAATAAAGGCTTTCCCAGACAAAAACTGAGGTAGGTCAGCATCACCTGACCTATAAGACACTGCACGAAATGCTGAAAGGAGATCTTCAAGTAGAAACAAAAAGATGCTAACCAGCAACAAGACAACATGAAAGTACACAACACATTGGTAAATGTGAACATGCACAGTCAGATAAAAAGAAAAAACCTAATTCACCTAATTACAGTAAAAAGTTTAAAGGAAAAGAATATTTTTTAAAACTCCAGCTATGGAATTCCCTGAAAGTCCAGTGGTGAGGACTCTGCCCTTTCACTGTAGGAGGTAAAGGTTCAGTCCCTGATGGAGGAACTAAGGTCCCGCAGGCTACGCAGTGCTGCAAAAAAACCCCAAAACTCAAGCTACTGTAATACTACTGAAATCAGAGCATAAAAAAGGCAAACTGTGACATCAAAACATAAAAGGGTGGTGGAGCCTTTATAATGATAAGTTGCTAATAGCATACAGCGGATTGTTTTATCTGTGAGATGTTTTATGTAGGTCACATGGTGACCACAAGCAAAAATCTAGAGTTAACCCACAAATACAACAAAACAAGCAATGAAGCACACCACCATGGGAAAAAAAGTTTACAGAAGTAGGCAGAAATGGGGGGAAAATGAAAACAATGGAAATAGAAAACCAAAAGAAAGCAATCAATAGGGTGGCAGTTGTAAGTCCTTACATATCAGTGATCAACTAATGTAAATGCCCATAGAACAGAATAGAAAAAAACCAAAAACCCACATATACAATCAACTAATAGTCAACAAAGGAGTCAAGAATACCCAATGGGGGGGAATGCACAGTCTCTTTATAAAGCAGTGCAAAAACTGAACACATGCAGAAAAATGGAATTGGATCTCCCTCACACCACTCACAAAATGAACTCAAAATGGATCAGTCTTAAACATAAGACCTGGTACTGTAAAAGTTCTAGAGCAAAACATAAGAAAGAAGCTCCTTAACAACAGTCTTGGCAATAATTTCTTGAATATAACATCAAAAGCACAAACACCAAAAGCAAACTTAAAAGTTTCTGCCCAGCAAAGAAACATATGAACAAATAACCTACACAATGAGAGAAATTTTTTATAAACCATCTACCAAAAAGTTAATATACAAAATATATAAAGAACTCATGTATGCATTTTAGTCGTGTCCAACTCCACGACCCTATGGACTGTAGCCCACCAGGCTCCTCTGTCCCAGGGATTCTCCAGGTAAGAACACTGGAGTGGGGTCCCATGCCCTTCTCCTGCGCATCTTCCCAACCGCGGGATCAAACCCATGTCTCTTATGTCTCCTGCACTGGCAGGTGGGTTCTTTACCACTAGCACCACCTGGGAGGCCCTAAAGAACACATACAACTCAATAATTAAAAAACAAAGCACAAAAAAATATGATTTAAAAATGGGTTGAGGGCTTTCTGTGCTGGCAGCACTCTCGTAAACACGGTGAAAGTTTCTAAAGGCCGCTGAACTAAGGATGGCAAGCACCAACCCCCAAAAGTGACCCAGAACAAGAAAAGCAAGGATTCTCTGCATCCCCAAGGAAAGCAGCGTCATGACAGGAAGCAGAGGGGCCATGGTGGGCAGACTACGCCGATTTTCCAGAAAAAGGCTAAAACTACAGAGATTGTACTGAGGCTTGAATGCATTGAGGCATTGAGCCCAACTGCAGATCTAAGAGAATGCTCGTTATTAAGAGATGCAAGTATTTTGGGCTGGGAGGAGATAAGAGAAAGGGCCAAATGATCCAGTTTTAAGCTTCATGTTTTGTTTTATGAAGAAGACAATAAAGATTTGAGATTGTTTATGTGCTCACTTCGGCAGTACGTATACTAAAACTTTGAGATTGTTTTTAAAAAATAAATAAAAATGGGCAGAGGAACTAACTAGACAATATCTTTAAACATGGCATCCAAATGTCCAAGAGATACATGAAAAGATGCTCAACATCACTACTCATGAGAGAAATGCATATCAATGGCTATCAAAAAAAGAAAAACAAAACACCCAGACAAGTGATAGCAAGTGTTATCCTGTTAGGTAACAAGGATGTGGAGAACAGGAAACCCTTGTACAATGGTGGTGGGAATACAAATTGGTACAGCCACTAGGGAACAGTATGCACATTCCTCAAAAAATTAAGAACAGAATTACCATACAATTCAGCAATTCCACTTCTGAGTATATATATCCAAAGGAAATGGAAACAGGATATTGAAGAGATTATATGCATTCCCATGTTTACTGCGGTATTATTCACAATAGTCAAGACATGGAAATAACCTAAAGTGCCCTTCCATGAATGAATGAAGAAAATGTGGTACATATATACCAGGGAATATTGCTGTATGGTATAACTTATATGTGGAATTTCAAAAAGCCACACATTAAAACAGAATAAAACGGTGGTTACTAAAGGCTAGGAGGTGGAAGTTAGGGTATACCAACTTGCAGTGAGCTGTACATAAGTCCTAGAGATACAAAGCACAGTGTAGTGAATACAGACAACAATACTATGCTATAATCATCAAACTTGCTAAGAAGACTAGATCTTAATTACTCCAACCACTAAAAAAAGAAATCATTACTATGTGATTTAATAGAGGTGCTAGGTAATGGCCACACTTAACAGTCACATTACAATATCTAAATACATCAAATCAACATGATGTACACCTCAGATTTACACAATGTTATATGTCAGATATATTTCAATTAAAAAAGATACTTTTTATATCTTTAACATATAAAGAGTAAGAAGACAAGGTATACACTGGGAGAAGATACCTGCAATATATGAAACTGTTACAGGATTATGAAGATGTGGGGACCCTCCCACAAACAATAAAGAAAAAGACAACTCCACAAAATAAAGATCTCATCAATTCATCACAAGATGAATTCTGAACAGCTACTAAACACAAGCAAATGTGTCCATCATATTTAGTAATGGTGATGCAAATTAAAACTATGAGATACAGATACACTCCTAACAGACTGGCATGAATTTGATTCTGAAAATCAAGTAATAACAAGATGTGGAGCAAAGCAAGCACTTACATTGCTGGTGAGAGAGTAAAATCACTTTGGAAAAGTATTTTGGCAATATCTGTTAAAGATATTCCTACAAATTACTCAGTAACTAGCCCTAGGTATATGTCTTAGAGAAATGAATGTGTACCAGAAATGTGTAGGAAAGTTCACAGCATCATTGCTTAACATCCCAAAACTTAAGAAAAACTTAACCATCAACAGAAAAATAGCAAACTGTAATATATTCATAAATGGAATACTAATACTACCTTGCAGTGAAAATTAGTGAACTAGATCAACAAGACTTAATCTCAAAAACACGTAGTAAAGAAGACAATGGAATACATACAGCATGACTGACTCCTCAGAAAGCTCAAAAAAAGTAAAACATTTTTTTAGGACTATACCCATGAAAGTAGAAACTATTTTCAAGGAAAAGCAATGTAATATGATCACGGAGGGGGCAGTTCTGAGGTGTTGCTAATTCTTATTGTAGGAAGTGGTTACTCATATTTCCTTTATCATTTTCAAACCACATATGTTATATCCACTTCTATAAATTTAATTTACAGAAATACTTTCTAAAACTTCCAAGCAGATTAAAGACCCAGCTGTGAAAACAAAAGTTCACAGACGAAAATAGTGTATTTGTGACTTGATGTTTGAGGATTTCTTAGTCACAAAAAGAAAAAACCATTTTTTTTAAAAAATTGATTAAATTCAATATTAAAAGGAAAAACACATGTATAAAGAAACACAAACCAAAGAGCTAAATATAGATAAGTAGAAGATACTGGCAGTGCTTATAATTAACTTTAACAAGCAAAACCTTAAGCACACACACAGTTTTAAACGGGCAAAAGAGATGAACAGGCAATTCACAAGAGGAAACTCAAATGTCCACTAAAAATCAAAAGATGCTCACATTACCTCATCAGTAATCAGGGAAATGCATATTAAAATGACAGTGACTCCTCATTTCACACCCATCTCACTGGCCAAATTAAAGTCTAAGAAGATCATGTGTTAGCAAACACAAAGAGCATGTTCTGTTCACAATTAAAAAAAAAACTGCAAAGGGAAGTGAAAGTCGCTCATTTGTGTCCGACTCTCTGTGATCTCAAGGACTGTACAGTCCATGGATTTCTCCAGGCCAGAATAATGGAGTGGGTAGCCATTCCCTTCTCCAGGGTATCTTCCCAACCCAGGGATTGAACCCAAACATCTCCTCAACTGAGACAAACCTGATGTGACCCAATATCCTACCCCGGACATTTGTCGGAGAGAAACTCACATGACAAAGACTTGTCCTATTCATTCTGTGACAGACATGGAAAACCTGAATGCCCATCAAGAAGACAGCTTAACTGTGGCAAATATACATGGAATATGTACAGCTGGAGTTTATATATATTACTGAGGGTAGGTCTTAAAATACTGAGAGAGAAAGCAAATGGCAGAGGGATGGAGTATGACACAACACTACATTGATTTATGGACACAATGTACTAAAAGAATGAAAAATAAGAAAGGGAATGTGGTCTGGGTGCAAATTAACTGGAAGGAGGATACACAGGGGCTTCAATTATATTTACAATATCTTATTTCTATTAAGTTGATGTAAATTCTCCACTCTTTAAATTTCTAAAATATTTTATAAAAAGATCATGCAACTATCTTACCTTGTGTTGGCAAATAATTTTTTTTGTACTTTTCTACCTGGGTTCCTGAAGAAATCTGACTCTTTTGAAATCGAACTGATGAATTCTGTAGTATGAGAAAATTGTTGAATATAAAATTAGTCTACACATTAGTACAAGGAAAGAAAGTAACAGAACTCAGCTTGCAAAAGGAATATTTTAAGTGTGTTCAATTTGTGCTGTTTTCATGCAACAGGCCGGAGTGAACCAGCTGCTACTAGGAATGGACTACATACATACTCACATGCCACCTCTGAAAATACATTCTCTCCTCAAGTGACGCACAGCAGTGTGAAACAACAGTTTCTGTGACGTTACCAGAGCTGTCAGAGGAGAGGGCTGGACCGCATGGTCAGACCCAGGAGACTGCACACACTGTCCTCCCACCCCCCGGGGTTAGAGGTCAAGGGAGATGTCCTCCTTGCTCCCATCTCCTCCTCCAGCCAGATATCCTTCTCTCCTGCCCAGTTGGTCTCATTCACGTACCCCACTTGTCAGGAGATGATGCCATAGCTGCCACCTCTAGACCACTCTCTCCCACCTCAGCTAAGTACTCCAGTGGACAAAGGAGAACTAGTCATTATCAATATCTGCAATTATCAAGAGCTGCAAAAGTATCAATTTCAGAGCAACCTACAAAATAATAATCATTCAAAAAGCCAGTGCCATTTAATAAAGTGCCAAAGTATTTAGGGGTGAGATGCCACAATTTCTGCCATTACCTTCAAAGGGTTCAACAAAACACTTTACATGGAAATGTGGCAAGATGTGAACAATGACTAGATCTAGGTGAGAGTTCAGGTATTCATCATACTATTCTTTCAAATGTGTTTGGCTCAGTTTTCAAAATAACATGGTTGGGAGGGGGGAATCTCACCCTCTGACTCCACATCCTGTCCTCCCAGCTCACCCTGCTGACACCCTCCCTCCTCCAAGGCTTACAGCCTGCAGGGTCCCACAATCCACTGACTGTGTTTCCTGCATCCCCCCAAAACCTCTGCCCTTCTTGAGCAGCCTGAAATTATGGCTCATTGCAGACACTCTTGCTATATATACTGTCAACTTCCACACCCCTCTTACTCTGGTATTCACCAGGTTGACAAACCTCTGCTGTCTACCATTTACACTCAAAAAGCTGAATAAGAAAAAATAACAAACAACTCCTACTTGAAACATATCATCTCTAACCTCTGTGGAGTCAGACCACATTTCCCCCTCACTTTCCACTCTTGCAGACCCCGATTTCTCCTCCCTCCCTCCCCTCAAAGCTCCCAGAGCCTCCTCCATCCTCCCTCTCAGCAGAGAGCCAGGCTTTCCACTTCTCTGAGAAAAGGTAAAGGGTTGGGGGAACTTCCCACCAAGGGCTCCCCCATGTCCAGCTCTGGGTCCACACCTGAGCCGCCCCATCACCAGGCACAGACGTCCAAGCCAGTGCCTCCACCCCTCAAACCCCAGCTCCTCTCCGTGTGCACACCGATTCAACAACCCTCGCGTTGTCTCCTGCATCAAGGTTTCCCTCTCCGCATACTCAGTCCTACCAATACATAAACACTTGTTAATTTTCTCATCTTAAAACAAAACAAAAATAAAAAACTTCCCCTACAGCTACTACCCCATTTCCTTGTATTTACTACAAGACTTCTGCACAAAGCTTTACACTCTGTCTGAAGCGTCTCACTCTCTCACCCAGTCAGGCTTTCCTCTGGCAAATCCGAGGATCCACTGTCAGCCCTCACCTTACTCAGCAGCAGCCTCTGAGGCACAGGTCTCTCTGCCTGCTGTACTTGGCCCACACTAACCTCCCCACTTCAGCTCTGGTTCTTTCTCCTCGCCATCCATACCTTCAGCCCTAGTGGTCTCTCCCACACATTCTGAGGGCCCCAAACTTTTAGCCCAGACCTGACCTTCTCTGGATACACATCCAACTCCGCCCTATGTCCACCTGATGTCCAGCAGGCAATTCAAACTCACCTGACCTAACCTGAGCTCCTAACATCCACACCCCGGAAACATGTACTCTCTTTTGAGGGGACTCATGATAAATGGCCAAAAAAAGATGACACTCAATTTGGAAGCCCGCTTTCCTGCTGTCACACCCCACACCCAGTTTTATCACTAAATCCCGCCCACAACTCCACCCTCCCCAACTGCTCCGCAACCTCAGCCACTAGTCTCTGTCTAAGGCCACAGTCCTCCAATGCTCAGGTGGTGCCTGCAGCCTGCCTCAGTCCACTCTCATGTCTGCAGCAGGGGGGCCGCCCCTCCCATGCATCCTTCAGAGAGTTCAAGATCTCACTCAGAAGAAAAGGCAGTGTTCTGGGAAGTGATTAAGGCCTAAGGAAAGCTGCACCGGCCACTCGTAGCCCATCTCCAATTTCACACCCTGCTCTGCTCCCCAGGATGGACTCTGCTCCAGCCACACCAACCATAGGGCTCCTCTGGCCTCGGACTCCCAAACCGTCTTATCCTGGCTCACTGCACCCTCTCCTGGCCGTTGTTCAAACCTCGCTTTCTCAGGAGGGCTTTCCCCAGATGCTGGACAGAAACTCCAACACGCTCCCCCAACAGGGATCCCACCTCCTTGCTTTTTCTCCTTAGTCCTCATCACAACCTCACACACCATGTCCAACACTCATCTTTCTTCCACCACTGGAATACAAGTTTCAAGAGGACAAGAAGTCTGTTTTGTTCACTGCTTGATCCCCAGTGCCTCAGTGTCTGCACATCACAGCCGTGAATATAGATGAGTAAAAAAACAAACAGTTGATTCAAAAGGATCATATGCACCAAAAAAAGAGGATCTCTGCAGAAAATTTACTTACCCTGTTTTAACTGAGATTACCTGCCTACTGTGTTATAATTCCTCTATAAGAATTATCAAAATGAGGGACGTCCCTGATGGCCCAGTGGTTAAGAATCCATGTGCCAATGCAAGGGAAAACAGGTTCGACCTCTGGTCTGGGAAGACTTCACACGCCACAGAGCAACTGAGCCCTCAGGCTGCTGGGCCTGCACGCCCCGAGCCTGTGTGCCACAAGAAAAGCCGCTGCAGCCAGCCCACACAACTAGAGGAACCCCCACTCCCTGCAACTGGAGAAAGCCCGTGCACAGCAACAAAGACCCAGCATAGCCATAAATAAATAAACAAAAAGTTTTTTTAAAAAAAGATTAAAAGTGGGACTTCCTTCATGGTACAGTGGTTTAAAAAAAATCATAAAAACGAGTTTGAAATCTTTACAATGCACAAAAGAAGAATTTAACTGTGGTGAAATACACATAGAACTACCATCTCAAACTTCTCAAATCAGTTCATTGTTTAAGTACGCTCACACCGCTATGCAGTCGCCCCACCATCTCCAGAGCTTTTACCTCACAAAACTGAGTCTGTACTCAGGAAACAGCAGCTCCTCCTCCTCCCCTCCCCAGCCCTGGCACCCACCCTCCGTATCTTTCTATGAATCCAACTCCCCAAATATTCAGCATCTCCCCAGGGTGACAGAGGCTTCTCTGGTGGCTCAGTGGGAAAGAATCTGCCTGTAACACAGGAGACGCAGTTTGATCCCTGGTTCAGGAAGATCCCCTGAAGGAGGAAATGGCCACCCACTCCAGTACTCTTGCTCGGAGAATCCCACGGACAGAGGAGCCTGGCGGGCTACAGTCCATGGGGTCTTGCAGAGTCGGACACGACTGAGCCGACTAAACAACAACAGAGATAAGGTGACAAAACCTACCAAGAACCCATCTTTCTTTGAGGCGGTCACACACTGACCCATCCTGGTGCTGCTCTCTGTGGCTTCTGCTTTCTTCCAGGCATCCAGTCGGAACCTTTCCATCACTTTTATTTCCTCCCGGAGGTCTGTGTTCTCTCTGACCAACATTTCTATCTGGCTTCTAAGACGGCCTTGTGTACTGGACCACTTTGCTTCCTTTCTTTTCAGATCTTCCTGTAAATCAGACACCTGCCGCTTCAAAGCCTTTCCAAAAAACAAAAAAAACACCATTACTAGAATTAAAACAATGCAACAGAAGAGACAACACATCAACATACCAGGATCGCTAGCCCAGCACAAAGAGCAGAAAAGGGAAGACTTAGCAAATAACATTTCAGAAACATCAGGTTCCTCAGGAAAAGGAATGGGGTTCAAGCTGGAGTCTCACCTCATACCATCAACAAAATTCCAGAAGTTGGGGGGGGGGGCTGCGTCAGACACCACATAGGAGCCATGAGGTAATCGAGGTCTAAACTAAGATATTAACTGAAATAGAAAGAGACGAGTGGGGTTATCTGGTGAAGAAAACAGTAACAGGAACCCATGACTAACTGAAGGAAGAGCAGTGGCAAAGGGAATAAATGAAGTCAGAACTCCCAGCCCTGAAACTGGGTCTATCTGAAATTCCTGAGAACTGGGTCTGAGAAAATGACTTGTTTCAAGAAACTCCTGGAGATGTCTGAGAAAGCTACTTGCAACTGTACAAACAGAAATCAGCCACCTGCACCCATGTGGGTACAAATTACAGGGAGTGACTGAGAGCGGAGGGAAGCTTAGAATCAAGAAAGCATCGCCACCACCCACAAACTCACTCCGACTAAGGCGTGAGTGAGGAGGTACACCACTTCATCAACACGTGTGGGCCTGGATGCCCACCCAGCCTCTCACAGCCTCACAGCAGTCAACAGAGCAGCACAGGCAACAGGGGGAGGAACAGGACTCAGGGGCCCTTCCCGGGTGTGACTTCAGAGAGAGACAGAGGCTGGACCCAGGTGAGGTCAAGGCCCTTCTCAGGATTCGATGTCAGAGAGAGAGACTCAGGGCCTGAGTGAGGTCAAGGCTCATATCCCAGTTCTGTGCCATGAAAATACATGAAGTCATTACCTCCCTGAACTTAATATTTATAAAACGGTGGCGTGCAACCAACAAGTGAGCAATTTCTAACTGGTAACCACTGTTATCATGTGGGTAATAAACTATTCTACTAAAATGGCAACTCATAAATCTAAATAATTTAAGAATTCAAAGCCAAATAAGCCAAACAGAGACAAATACTATCGGAGAAGGCACTGGCGACCCACTCCAGAACTCTTGCCTGGAAAATCCCATGGACGGAGGAGCCTGGTAAGCTGAAGTCCATGGGGTCACTAAGAGTCAGATACAACTGAGCGACTTTACTTTCACTTTTCACTTTCATGCATTGGAGAAAGAAATGGCAACCCACTCCAGTGTTCTTGCCTGGAGAATCCCAGGGACGGGGGAGCCTGGTGGGCTGCCGTCTGTGGGGTCGCACAGAGTTGGACACGACTGACGTGACTTAGCAGCAGCAGACAAATATTATACGGTATCACTTACATGTAGAATTTTAGGGGGGAAAAGCTGACTTCCAAGAGCTGAATGCAGTTTCCGGGAGCTGGAGGGAGGGGAAATGGAGCAAGGGAGGTCAAAGGACATGGACTTTGAGCTGTAAGAAGAGTGTAAGTTCTGAGGGGCTTCGGTACAGCTCAGTGACTGGTTCACAAGGTTGCGCTGTGCACCTGACAGTTGCTCAGAGCAGATCTTCGGCCTTCTCCACACCCACCCGCTCAGAGATAACTTGATCTTGGTAATTATTCCACACTGTATATGTGCATCAAATCATCACACAGTATACTTCTAAACACAGAGCTATATATTTCAATAATTCCTCAGTAAAGTTAAAAGGAATTCAAAATCAATGTTTTGAATTTATCCATGTCATTATCATAGTCTTTTCTGGGGAAGTCTTTAGTAAGAAAAGAACTGACATATTTTACTCTTCACAAGTCAAAGAGTACAGTACTTCTCTGGAAGTCCAGTGGTTAAGATGGAGGGGGCAAGGGTTTGAGCCCTGGTTGGGGAACTAAGATTCCCCATGGCATAGCCAAAGAGTAAAAAATTTAATAAAAATTAAAATGAAAAGCCGTGACTACAGAAGGTGTTCCTGGTATCTCAGATTATCTGCTGAGTCAATGGATGATTAATACGTTGATACACAATTTCTCTTTGACCCAAATAATTTTAAAATTCTTACAAGACTGCCATCTTTACTAACTTATGAATATAATATAAATAACTGACATACTTGTATTTCTTCACGTTCCTTTTTATCTGGAAAAGTTCTTGCAACTGTAGAATACTTTTCAAAAACTTTGCGTTCCTTTTGTAACTTCCTCATTTCTTCCTTTTTAAACTCCTCTATTCGAGCCAATTCTTTGGCTTTCTGTTGTTCAAAGTCAGCAGTTTCTTTCCTAAAAGGACCAAACCACATTATCATCTAAGGAGACCACCTTGATATCGTCATCCACATGTGGCACAAAATGAAGCCACAGCCTGGAATGGAGGAGCTGCTGGTTTTGGTGACTCCACCTTCAATCAACAGTAGTGAAATAATCAACTCAGTAAAGCCCCTCTCAGCAAGCACTCTCTGGGAACCTACTATGGCTCAGGCACTATGCTAGGAACTGGAGAAAACACAGTGAAAAAAAATAAAATCCTTAGTCCTACAAAGCTTCTTACATTCTAGTGGGAGCAACAGAGGACAATAAAGATAAACAAGTAAAATATATGGAACACTGGAAATGTTAAGAATAAAGCAAGGAATGAGGTCAGAAAATATGGAGGTCAGGGGACTGAAATTATCTTGCTGAGATAGTATGTGAAGTGAAATCTGAGGGACCGGAAGAGATCAGTCATGAAGATATCTGGACAGAGTATTCCAGGAAGAGGAAACCGCATGTGCAAAAGCCCCGGGGTACGAACGTGACTTGTGTTCAAAGAACAGACAGGAGGCCAGTGTGGCTAAAGAGACAGAACAGTAGGAGAGAATGTCAAAAACATGGTGGGGCTGGGGGGACTAATAAATAAAGGTCATGGTCTCTGGGACCACGGTGAGGACTCTGGTGTTGAGCACAGCAGCACACTGGTCTGGGGCTGTCATAACCCAGCATCTTTCTGGATGCTGAGCTGAGAGCACATGGAGCAACGACAGCAGGACTGTGGAATAAGGGGTCCCGGCTCACATGCTCCCACACAAACGACAATCTGACCACCATCCACAGACAAAAGTGGGAACTCGAGGCTTTTGTGGGAACTCAAGGACCCTGGGAGGTAACTGAGAAACCCTGGTGAAGCCTGAGATCAAGGACAGCACTTTGAGAAGGCAGGTCCATGCAGACCTACTAAATGACGATCTGACTGCACTGCACACAGCCCCACTGCCAAAGGAGGCAGGAGGAGCCATGCCCACCCCTGCCCACAGATCCTGACACAACCTGGTGACCCAGCTCCAGCCCTGCTCTGAGTATGGAGGCAGTCCTGCCGGACCGGGGACCCATGGGAAGATGCTTAGGAACCTGGCAGGAGCCACACCTGTGCTGACCTCTGGAAGCACACCTCCCATTACAGACCCAGCAGTGGTACAGGAGGCAGCCCATGATGTAGTTTCAGCCCTGCCTGACTGCGGTCCAAGAAGGAGTTCTGTCCACTAGGGATGTGGCAGGAACCACAGCCGACTGCAACCCTGGTGACAGGCCTATCAAATGGTGAACCCCTTCACTGTGGATCCAGCACAATGAGCCAGCTACAATCCCACCGTGATCCTGGAGGCACCCATCAGTCCAGGAGTCCAGCAGGACAAGGTCTTTACCTGCCAGAAACAGCCTCTAGAGACAGGAGGTGTTTGTTCCTTCAAATACAAGGACATCCACACAAGTTTACACAGATCAGTAAGAATCAGGCAAACATGAGACCATCAAAGGAAACTGTTAATAAAGTTTCAATAACCAGCCCAAAGAAATGGAGATCTACAAACCACCTGACAAAGAACACAAAGTAATTGTTTTAAGAAGCTCAGCAAGCTACAAGAGAGCACAGATAAAGAACTCAATGAAATCAGAGAAACAGCATGTGAAACAAAACAAGAACAAACAGAAATTATTAAAAAAAAAAAAGAAATTCTAGAGCTGAAGAATAAAAGAAATGAAGGACAAATGCAGCAGAAAACTTCAACAGCAGACTCAAGCAGAAGAAAAAAATCTGTGACTGCACAGGCTGGTGACTTGAAGATACCCAGTCAGAGCGGGAAAAAAGGGAAAAGAATGAAAAGGAGTGAAGAAAGCCTATAGGACTTATGTGATGTGACTGAATGAATGACACACGCATTAGGGGAGACACACAAACCTCTAGTCAGACTAAGAAAAAAAGAGAAATACAGGCCTTAATAAATACCTCAGAAATAAAAAGGACCACATGTGAACAATTATATTCCAAAACACTAGATAACTCAGAAGAAATGACAAATTCCTAGAAACATACAAACTACCAAAACTGGACCCAGAAGGAAGAGAAAGCCTGAACAGATCAATAACAAACAAGAGGACTGAATCAGTCATCAAAAACTTCCTACAAAAGGAAAGCCCAGGACAGGTGGCTTCACAGGTGAGTCCCACTAAATACTCAAAGAAGGATTAATACCAATCTTTAAAAAGAAGGGACACTTCCAAGCTCATTCTGTGAAGCTAGTTTTCACTCTCATACCAAAGGCAGACAAAAACACAAGGAAAGAAAACTAAAGGCTAATGTCTCAGATAAATAAGGGTGTAAAACTCCTCAAAAAAAACCTAGCAAACCAAATTCAACAGCACAGTAAAGGCATTAACAAACCACGACTGATCCCCAGGATGCAGAGCTGGCTCATGCAGATGAACAAGATGTAACTGGCGTGGCCGCTGTGGAACAGCATGGTGAACATGACACAAACTGGTAACATAACTGGTGGGGCCCCTGTGGAAGAGCGTGGTGGCTCCTCAGCACTATTTTCAATAACCCAGGGGCAGAAATAACCCCATGTTCAGCTGCAACCCAAGGAAGGCCAAAGATCACTAAAAACCAAGAGAAGACAGAAGAGAAAGTACAGCTCTGCTGACGCCCAACTTCAGGCTTTCAGTCTCCAGAAACATGAGAAAATAAATGTGTTGTTTTAAGCCACCCAGTTTGTGTGCATTACGTCACAGCAGCCCTAGAACGTAGTACACTGGCCAAGGTGGCACTTGAACCCACAGCTCCAAACTGCTTGTCAAACTTCAGTTTATGACCACATCACTAAGAGAATTCCCCTTTTAACACATCTTTGACCACAATAGGTCATTTTATCTAAATTTATTAAATTCTTTTGTGGAATGTATCTCACTTCCTGCTCTAGCTAGATTAATAGGAATTGTTTCAAATAGTTTAGATATAATCTTAAAGATGTAACTGGATCACTGTACATTTCCCCCACTTACCTGAGTTTTTCCAAGGCACTTTCTCGTTCAATGCGAAGTTTAGCTAAAGATGCGTTCTCAGCTTTAAATTTTTCTATTTCTGTTTCCAATTCAGTAATTTTCTCTCTCAAAATTTGAGATCGAGCATTGCCACCTAGAAGATAAGCCACCAATACTGAACTTCACAAAAAGCTTTCAGCAGCAAAACACTAGCTAGCTATTACACTAAGGGCCCTAGATATTCTCAATACCTATATTATTAAAAAGCATTAGGAACAATACTTGTAAAAGACAAAAAAATTTACAATGGCCTAACTTTAAAGATGGGGCAATCTAAACTTGAAGAATCAAATCATTCTACCTCAAAAAACAATCTGATGACAAATTAACACTACATATTTTAAAAATCACTCAAATAAATTTTTCAACAAATATACATAAACAGCTTAAGAACATGAACAAGCATTCATAAGAGATCTAAAGCACTAATCAACACCAAAATCAAAGTTTATCCCCCACCAATAAAAGAAATACAAATTAAGACCTTTTCCACATCAAATTTGCTACTTAACAAAATAGCCTATACTTTTGTCCTTCAACCACCCATTTGGAAAATAACCTTGATTTATATCACAAGACTAAAAATACATGTATCTCCCCTCTGACCCACTTCTAAAAATCTAGTTAAAGAAGGAACTTATAAAATAATACAAGTCATTCTACACAAAAGTGTGCATTGCAGTGTTACTTCTAATAGTGAAAAACAACTGAAATGTTCAACATGAAACTACTGTAATAAAATTATGCTACATTAATATAATTCTCTGCAACCATTTTAAAAATACACAGTTTTAATGATATGGCCAAAGCACTGCATACATCTGGTCAAAAAGGATAAGGGCAATTATATATCTCTACCATATTAAAAATACATAGGAAAAATAAATGTAAAGAAGTAAATCACAGTTACCTTAGGATGGTTTAGTTATAAACACTTTTGCTTCTATACTTTAAGCTTCCAACCTTCCAGCAAAAAATACTATTTTTAAAAAATAGCTTATATTTTCAAGCACCCATGCTTTGCTAGACATTCAAGTTTATAATATACATAAAAGAATGGAAAACTGTTTTCGATATAAGTTTATAAAGTCCATCCCATCAACTAAATACTTTACAGCCATGAAACGGAATGAGACAGATGTATATTAGCACAAGCTTCAAAATGTATTACAAGCAAGGAGCAGAGCAGTATATACAAAGTGTGTTTACATTTGTGTAGAAAGGTAAATTATATACACATTCACATATACACTTTCATATGCATGGAATCTTGGTACAATACACAAATGAAATGAGAAAGTTGGTGTCTCTAGGAGCTCAGGTCTGGGGCTGGGGAAGAGAGGAAACAGATTTTACTCTATTTCTTCTTCATTATATTTAGCAAGTTAATGCATGAGACCAAAAAAACTGATTTAAAATGGTGTGCACAAGTGGAGGTAACACAGCAACACCAACCACAAGTTGGGTATTTCTTGGTTGTTGGTGGTGGTTTAGTCACTAAATCTTATCCAACTCTTGGGACCCCATGGACTGTAGCCTGCCAGGCTCCTTCTCCAGGGCATCTTCCCGACCCAGGAATCGAACCCTGGTCTCCTGCATTGCAGGCAGATTCTTTACCAACTGAGCTATGAGGGAAGCCCAATAGCCCTTGGTTATTAAAGAAACTTAAGTGTTATCTCACCTTACAGTAATTAATTTTAAAGCCTTGGCAATAAGACACAGGTTAAAATTCGAAAAAATCTGCAATCACAATTCTTCCAAATCTCTTACACTAGTGTGCGTGCACGCACACGTGTGTGTGTGTGACTATTACATTATTTAGGCTCACAAAAGAAATCAAACCTTAACAAACACCTACTAGGTATCTACTGAGCATCTAGAAAGATTAAGACTTTAAGAAACATTCTGACAACATACTGATAAAATAAATTTAAACTTACAACATTTCATTACAATACTCTGACATACCAGGTGGGTGGTCTTGACTTGTGTTTAACTTGGGATCATTTCTCGAGCGTGAGTGTGACTTTGACTTCGATTTCAGAGAAGGAAAGAATTCTATCATCAGATCTGAGGTAGGAGGAGGGCTTGGGTCCCTACTGGATTTGCCCAAGTCTTCTCCCTTCTTGACTGGCACAACCTTCCTTTTTATCGTTTTGTCCAGTACACACATTTCACTCTTGTTAGGGCAGGTGGTCTGGGGAGTCCCATAAATGGCTTCATTCCCAAGAACACCATCATGTTTAAATGAATTATCTTCAAGGTCAGTCCAAGTTCTTTCATCATCAAAGTCAATTTTATTCACACTTATAGATGAGTGTCTTCTGGAGGAATCAGAAACTTTATTTTTCAAGCTTTCTATTATGAGAGAATCATCACTGCTATAATCCTTATCAGACAAATCTAAATCAACATCTCTCCTTTTCTCTTGCTCTTGAGTCGTGATGTCCCGAAAAGGTCCCTTACCATCACAGACTTGTGGACTATCTTCTCCGCTGCTGGAACTCCTTTCCTTACCCTCAGATGACAGCTTTATAGTGACGTCAAGCTGTTCCTCCAAATCGGTGCTATGATCACTGTCTGTAACACCTTCACCATTGCCTGCATTCCACCTGGTCTGCCTTTCAGGAGGGTTCGTTTGGAACACTCTCCTCCTGACTTCACAGGACGGCACCCACAATCCTCCCGGTGAGAACACTGAATCAAGTTGTCTGGGAGCAACCTCGCACTCAGCCTTGCTTCCACACTGGGCATGGTCCAGATCCTCGTTTTGGTTATGCTGACTAAAAGAACCCAGTGTTGCTGTCTTCTCTTCCCGCACACCTTTGACAGGGGTAGAAGACAGCCGGCGACCTCTGCAGTTCTGCCGGTCCCTCTCTAAGATCTTCAGTACAAATGAGGAGTTACTAGAAAATGATATTTCATCAGCAGCTTGTTCTAAAAACAAAAATTCATCTAATTCCAAATTTTCCTTTTCCTTTTCTCGTTCCCAATTCTCTAACTTTTTCCGAAGAGAAACATCAAGAGAAGATTCTGACCCTTTCAAAGTTTCACTTGCTGGGCTCTGAGAAGCCATACAGCTGATGAGTCCTGTGGAAATGGGAAGTCTGTCTTTACTGCGTGCCTTATTCCAGATTGTGCAACCAACATCGCAAGGTTTTGTACACTCAGGTACATTTTCTTTATTATTAGATTCCACTTTTTTTCCTAAACTGATCTGCTCTCTGAATTGCCCATCACATTTCTTCCCGGCTGGCATTTTCAATCTTGATGGAGAAAGACTTTTCCTACTATTACTCTTAAGCACTTTTGGCTTCTGACTGAGTGTGAGCGAACCACACTTGGTTCTGACTTTACTGTTCTTTTTAACAGGAAGGTTCTCTGTACAGATTTCTTTATTTATAAGAGCAGTTTTCCGCTGGAATTGTTGTTTATCTGATTTAAACACAGGCTGGTCCTCTGAAATGCTCTGAGTGGTGACTAGGTTACTTTCTCTCCCCTTCCGAAACTTAGATTTAGCATTAGTAAATCTGGCTAAACCTTCTCCTCGTTTTAAGAATGGTTGTTTTGGTTTTGCTTTGATAAGCAAAGATCCTTCTGCTTCCTAAAATAAAAGAATATTTGAATTAATTCTGGTATATCCAAATAATCTCAAAGCTATTTTTTAAGCAAATTACAAACAAATCTCTAAAGCCTTAGATAACTGGATCAAAATAGTAGAAATGCTAACCTTCAGCTGTTTTTGTTGCAGTTCTAGTTCTTCCAACCGAATCTGTTCCTCTAAGTAGTCTTCAAAAGTTTGTTTTCTTTCTCTAATAGCAGCTTTAATAGGCCTAATCATAAAAATAAAGTTATGTAACATGCAAATCATAATGTGGTGAATACTTTACACTTAGTGTGGCTGATAGACACCTCTGACTGAGAACTAACCTTTTCCAACATTACAAATTCCATTTGAGAATCTATTAAAAGCTACAATTCCACTCCATCTCCCAAAATACAGAAATACATGTCTCTACATGTGATTTGAAAAAGCCCCTCTGAAGTCCACCTTCTGACCTCAGATTAACTTTTAAAGTAACATATTCATTATATAACTAAGATATGTTTCCAAGAATAGGTCATTAAATAAATATTCTTTAAGATCCTTAACAATATTAACAAGTCATTTAGCATTCCATAACATATACTAAAATATTTTAAAAAATAATAAACAACCTCACTATTGATATTTTATCTTTGATATAAAATTTTAAATTCTATAACCACACTCAATTATTATTTATAAGTGATACCATATGTGCAACTCCAATATATGATCTTTCTCTTCTCCAAAACAGGATTTACCTATTTAAGAGAATATTAGTTTTATCCAGGTATTTCCCTTAGATGAAAAAACTGCTAGATTCTCCCAATACAATGTCAAGGCTACTTTAACTGATTATCTTCCCAACCTCTTACTGTTGCTGACAATATGGAATAAGATGGATCTTCAATCCTATACTTAAAAGCACGTCCAAGCAAAAACAATAAAACTATGGATCTTTCAAACAAAGAAAGTGCCAATAATAATGACTCATATTAAATTCCTTTCAACTCGAATGATACCTTTCTTCAATATTAACCACTTCTGAGGAATCACCAATTTTTTTTAAGTTCGTATCGTTCCCTTCCTGAATCTGTTCCGTCATTTTCTCCAAACATGGTAAAATACCTTCTCCTAGAATAAAAATTAGGGGCAATTTAGTTCAATTAAAAAAGCAGACTAAAGTCTTAAAATGTGAGAATTTTACAAGTTACTATGCTAAAAAAAATTAATGTATACCAAAGATTTTAAAACACTCAATTTAATATGATAAAGAAAAGTATAAAACCCTAATTAAAACACAACATCCTTCAAAAAGTTAATATTAAGGGGGAGAAATTTTCTAAGTTATAAAAGACTCAAAGAATTGTAGCAACTGAATGTAATACAATAACTTGACTGGATCCTACTTTTAAAAAACACCTTAAAGAGGCAATTTTGGGATCACAGGGAGCATTCTAAATTGCATTTCCATAGTTAAGGTCCCTGAATACAAAAATATTAATAGTAATGTAGTTATACAGAAGAATGTCCTAATTTTTTCCGGATATTTGAAATTATATAAAATAATGTCTCCATATAATTTGAGATGAAATGACTGAGCAAACTATCAATATGTGCAGATATAAACACATAAATTTAAGTATAGATACAGATATCTACAACATACAAATATAGATAGACAAAGTTAATGTGGAAAAATATCAATTGCTGCATCTAGGTAGTGGATACACTAGTAATCACTGCAGCGGTCTTTCAACTTTTCTGGATGTTTGAAATTTGCCAAAATAAAAGGTTAATGGGACTTCCCTGGTAGTCCAGTGGTTAAGACTCCATGCTTCCACTGCAAGGGGCAAGGGTTTGATCCTAGTTAGGGAAGTTTCACATGCTGCACAGTGCCACCAGATAAAGATGAAATGGTTAAGGGAATGTACTGTATAAAAAATAAGGAAAATGTCTTATACCAAGAAATTACTCTAAACTAGGAATAAGATATTATCCACAAAAGGTGCCCAATACTAAGTATTGAATAAAGACTTTTTGTCGTATCATTTGTGTTTTTCTATATCTGACTCTAAAGAACATATACATAAAAACACCATTAAAGTTGAAAAGCAAATTAAAATTTAAAATACTGGAAATGATTCAATCCTGCTATAAAGAACATGAAATAAAGACATTATTTGATGATCTGCATAATGATAACATTAAAATTATGGTTATGAAGGCTACAGAAAGTGCCATGAGCACTTTCCACATTGAGTGGGAAAAGAACATAATTTATTACACAATACTCACTCTATTACAAAACATGGAAAGAAACAAAAGGCCAGGGAGTGAGCACAGAAACAGGACTTTACACTAGAAATGCCTTGAGCGCTCAGTGAGTTTGGAATGAGCAGACACTAAGAGCCAGTGCTCTGGCAGGAGCATGCCAGGTGCTGAGAACACAGAGATACAGTAAGGGTGTTGGGGTTGGAGGGATTTCTCTTACAAGTAGTAAGTCCCATCACTAATCTATTGTTCACATGTCACATCTTCTATCCTATTCCCCACCACCAACACACACACTTTTTAAATCGATTTCTAACTTTTCCTAAGCTCTCGAAAAAAATGATCCACACAGAAATCACTGCCTCCCTTTCTGAAGACCTGATGCTACCACGGCAAGGTCTGAAGTCAGCAAGAGTCATCCTGCAACTTGTTCCTGGAAAGTCACAAATTCTGTGTCCAAACCAGGCGCAGTGGCTGTACAGAAGTTAGGATCTCTCATTTAAAGACGTAGCATGGACTTCCCTGGTGGTCCAGTGACTAAGACTCTGCACTCACAATGCAGGAGGTCCGGGTTCAAACCTGATCATGGAATTAGATCCCACATGCTACAACTAAGTGTTCGCATGCTGCAACTAAGACCCAGTTCAGCCAAGTAAATAAATACACAAATATTTAGGAGGACAAAAAAAGACACGAATAGGAGGAAAAAAATGCAGGACTTTCCTTGTCTTAGAACAACTAGGTGACACTGTCCATTAACTATAGAGGAGAGAAAAATAAGTAACTCACCTTTCGAAGAGTTATCATTTTCTTCCTTCAAATCATTTTTTTCCACAAGTGCTTCCTGACACTGTGCCTCATAAAACACACTGGGAGAAGCACCACTTCTTGAAGTTAAAACAAAATCCTGATGAGCAGTTCTAGAGAAGTCATTTTGTTCACTGGATAAAATGTTAGAAGGGTGTTTTTTTTCTTGGCTTTGATTCTGGTAGATATATGATGGCAAGAAGGGCGTAGTTTTCTCTACAGTGGTTAAATTTCCCAGAAGTTTGTACTTTTTCTGGCTCTGGTCATCAGGCAGTGGAGTTAAACCTTACAATTAAGAAAATCAACAAAACTGATGACTTTCTATAACATTTTATGTTCTACCTGTTAATGGCACCTATGTTTTCTCCAAAGTGAGGGAAGTACTTTTTTCCTCATTATTAGAAAACTATGTTTAACAAAATCATGAAATTTTAAGAGTCCGAAGTGACATTTGCATGCTTTTGATTGAAAGTGCATTTACACCACAACTCATGTGCAGTGTTCACACGCCAGAGCTGCAGCCTGCCTAACTGTGGAAGGCACCGTTCACCCTCCATCTGTGAGCACTGCCTGGAGCTGTCAACTCTAAGCCCTGTGACAAACAGTTAAATGCAGAGCACCAGTGCAGACAGTTACAAACAATCTGAACTGTTCCTTCACAATCAATAACTACTCTGTGTTACAACACATGAAAGCATTTTTCCTTTATGTTCCCATTAAGATGCTGGTGACCTCAGGTGGTAGAATGATGGGTGATTTTGTTTTGTACTTTTCTTTAATCCCCAAATTTCCTGTAATACTTTTCACCTGTTCTGTACCCAATAAACAGACAGAAGATTCCCTTTCCGTGTATCTCAAAGATACAATTCTTAGAGAATAAATGGCAGTACTAGCCATCCTGCCTGCTGTACCAGCCCCTTGCAATTTACTACTCCTGTTTTCCCAGATTGTTTCAATTAAACTTAGAATTAAAGATACAATTGGGGGTACCTCCCAGACAGTTCAGTGGTTATGACTCTGTGTTTCCACTGCAGGAGGTGCAGGTTCAATCTCTGGTCCAGGAACTTAAGACCCACCAGCCATGTGGCATGGCCAAAAAAATAAGACACAGTAGGAAGTACTTCATAAAAGAGGCATGCCACCTATGTCTTATACCCTTTGCTTCACCCCTAGCCCACAAATAAAACTGAAAGTCAGGTAGGTCATCACTGAATATCAGATTCAACCTTCCTTCTTTAATAACAATATTCTCCCATCTAAATATTTTTGACTAATGGTCATCCCACTTCAGCCTAAAAACATCTCCGACAGAAGAGCAAAATCCCAAAGCAGCAGTCCTCAAAGTGTGGTCTGTACACTCCCAGTCTCCAAGACTCTGTCAGGGCATCCACCAACGTCCAAGCTATCTTCAGAACTACTGAGATAGTATCTGCCATTTCACTGTGCTGACGTGCACCCTGATCACATGCACTACCAGGGAGCTTCCTGGGGACCTCACTCAAAAGCAGGACAGCAGTACCTACTGTGCTCACCACCACACTCTCAGCTCGAATACTAACAACAGCTTTACTGAAGAATGTTTCAGACAAAGCAAGCAGGAAAATTATTAATTTTTTAGCTGAAGTTTAACTCTTGAGTTCATGTCTTCTGAGTATTTTATAGGACAAAATGTGAAGTATACATAAATCACTTCTGCTGTAAACTAAGCCATGGGCTGTGAAATTTTTTCAGCCATAAGCTTAACTAATTGATCTTTTAGGGATTATTTCTACTTGAAAGAATGATGAACTATGATGATTTAAACCACAGTACTTGACAGAACATTTTCTCAAAAATCAAACAACTGAGCCAGACATTTCAAGGAAACTGACAGTATTTGTTGCCAATGATAAAGTATGAACTTTCAAGTAAAAATCAGAATGTTGGAAAATACGTCCATCACCATGAGCTTGAAAGCTTTATATTTCAAGACTTTCATGATGATATCTGTGGGAGCATTAATACATATAAATTTTTATACTTTATAATGAAATATATCAATATTTTTAGAACCTACCTCAGAGAACTATTATTTTCCAAATAACCAATGCATGATTTTACCAAAGCATGGATGATGAAAAGTCCATTCAAAATGTCAAGATACTTTAATGTATTTTAATGTAATAGAGCACAGAAAGTTCACTAATATGATTGATTCCATACTGTGAGTAACAGCTAAGAAATGACCACTGGTTAAGTTCGGTGGAATACCAAAGAAATAACCACGTTATTTGAAAAAGCTTTCTCCTTTTTCCAATCACATGTCCTTGTCAGGCCAGATTTTTTTCACATACATCAACCAAAACAACATAAATGAAGAGATGGGAGGCGAAAGTAGATATGAGAATCAGCTGAATTCTATAAGCCAAAAGTTAGAGATTTTCAAAAACACTGAACAATGCCATTCTTCTCAATTATTTTTTAGAAAATGTTTTTTGTTAAAAAGTGTTATTTATAGCACATAATTATTTTAAAGAAATTAGTTTTTAAATTTCTTAGTTTTAATCTCTAACACAGTAAATATCAATAGCTATAGCCCATATAATAATACAAATTTCTTGGAGTCCTCAATAATTTAAGAGTGTTATGGGGTCCTGAAAGCAAAAAATGTTGAGAGCTGCCCTAAAACAACTGTTACATAATGTGAGGTAGTTCTCACATTAGTAACTTTAAAATCTGCTTCCCTTTTGCTCTACCATATGCTATTTCTACCCAGGAAACTATCACAGGCTATTATATAAGTGATCGTGATTCTTATTTTTCTGTCCTCCATAAAAGAACCCTGAACCACTCAATTATTTCCAGATATACACCATATTCTCTATATTGTCTAAGATAAACATCCAAATTCCCTGAGCCATTCTTCATTTGCTGCCTTCCTTATCACCAGTGCTACCACTAAGCCCAAGATACCATCCAGCCACATCTGCATGCACACCTACCAAGATCTTTGTATTCTCTACATCTAGGACAGCCTCTCAACAGAAGTGGTGCTCCACTCAATCAGTCAAGTGTGTCTCTTAAAAGGCAGCACCAAGAAGCAAGCACACTGCCCCTGACCAGTTTTTCAAACCATGGGACACAATCCATTTTGAAATGCCCTTGCTACCTGCCAGGCATGTGAGTAAGAATTGATTCATGAAACTTCTCTGGAATTATGAGTCATGATTTTAAATGTTTTTGTTAATATACAACCTGTCAAAAAACTTTCAAAACTACTGCTCCAGACCACTTTTCAACTGTTTGCTCATCCCCATAAGTACATCATGCTTTCTATTAACTGATCTAGCATTCAACAGAAAAGCTGTCCTGTACTACCCCAGAAAGTATTTCTGGTATGGCTTGTTAGCGGAGCAGAATGGCTTCTTCACATACACACTTTTATGACCCTGATCAGTTTTTCATTCATCAGGCAGGGGTTGTGCCTCAGTAGCCCTAGGTCAAATTCAGCTCCGCATCTTTTATTCTGTTGGATCTTTTGAAAATTTTATTTTATAAAAACGTGAATGCCTTTAAGTAGGGCACACATGTTCCAGAACAGCACAGATCCCTCATCTGTATTATATCACACCACTACCGTTCCATAGTTGTCTGTCTGGCTTGAAATTGGAGCCGGCAACATGACAGAGAAATGGTAGAAATAACCTGTCAAATGACTAAAGACAGGAAATGTGTGTAACTGCCTACCACTGTACTGACCAAAGGCCTCACAGTAAATAATACCTGGGAGTGTCTGCTGCCCAGACACCAAGGCGAGTAGCTCCTCCTGCTCACCCATGAGCCTCTGCAGCTGCTCGAGCTGCCGCTTCTTCAGCTGCTCCTGCTTCTTCTGTTGCTCTTCTTTCAGCTTTTTAGACATACAATTAACTTGATTAAAATTACTATTTCTTTATGGACCTCTGCTCCTTAACATTAATCTTAATCCCTCCCAGCTCCCTTCTCGTATCTTCTCTAATAAAGAGTTCCAAAGAGGGATCCCTAAGTAACTTAATCTGCCACCAAAACTCTGAACTCTCAACTAAGACAAAAAAAAAAACAACACATGAATCCTTTGATTAAGTAGGATCTGTATCAGTCCATTTATAATCAACTAACATTTGATCAGTCATTTCTAAATCAGTTTTTACAAAATGAGGTAGGAAGATACTGTTATTTTAAGTGCTATATTTGTATCTTATGTATTAATCATGTTTTAATGTTTCACCTCAAACAAAAGACAAAGTATGATATTATGAGTAAAAGATAAACAAAGACCTGGAACAGATGACTTTTCATTGTAAACAGAAACCTGCAATAACTGTGCAATCATACACATACATATCAGGTCAAACCCCGTTTTACCTGTTCAAGCTTTTTAACAAGTGGGTCTTTAAAAGGCACTTCTTTGAATTCACTTAAAAGATCTGCAATAAACTCATTTTTGCTATCTTCCCATTGTCCAGGAGCATCCTGACGTGCCACTATCTGTAGCCCCTCTTTAGTTAAAGGAAAGACTCTCTGTGGTTCAGATTTATCTGACTGTAACTTGTACGGGCTGTTAGGCTCCAATTTCTCTTCTTCATGAAGTGAATCTTCTTCCCTTATAAAGCTGAAACTATTTGAAAATTTTGTGGCTTTAATAGGAAAGCTGGTAGAAAAGTTCACATTTGCTGGCTTCTCTTCCTCTGCTTCTAAAATAGGAAATCCACGATTTAATATGACCCCAGCCCGAGAAGGATTCGCCATCCACTGGGTTAAGAAGTTCTGCCCACTGTTTAACTCTGAAGAAGCTGGCATCAGAAACATTTTGGTCCAATGACAGTACTATATTTAGAAGACGGAACAGTTATTAATTTCCAACACCTGCAGAAAGAAGACAGAAAACAAATAAGCTATTCTACCCAAACCTCAATCTAGCACAAAAATCTACTGAGTATTTCTTACATAAAAGACTTTAGCAAAGCAATCAAGGAATTACATATTTTTTTAAATGTCCTTAAAAAATCCACACTGAGGAGATCAAAAATCAAAGTTCCCTCTGATTCAATCAGTTATGGATCAATTTACACAAGTGATGATCAATCAAAAGACCTAAAACTAAGGGAGCAGGATTCCCTGGTGGTGCAGTGGAAAAGAATCTGCCTTTGCAAGAGACTTGAGTACAACCCCTGGAAGATCCCCTGGAGGAGGAAATGGCAACCCACTCCAGTATTTGCCTGGGAAATTCCATGGACAGAGAAGCCAGAGTCCATGGAGCCACAAAGAGTCAGACACAATGAGCACAACACAACAACAACAACAACAAAAACCTAAGGGAGTTAAAGCTCGTCTAAGTTATTTGATTACCAAAAGAAAAACAAGTCACTATCTATATCCACTACTACCCACTTTAACCACTTTCAATGATTCTGACTGTATGTAGTCCAATACTGCTTCTTCGCCCAACCAGGAAAGCAGTGTTCCTCCTAGTTCCAGAACAAGTCACCACCACCCCAAGGCTTTATCTGCCACCATCTCCTGTTGTCCCTTCCTCCTCTTCCTAAAACTCCCTTCCCACCCATGAGGCAATCTCTTATCTGTATCCCTAGAGGTCTCTGACATCACTACTTTGGCATTCCTCTCATTATTAGTGGCATTTTGTTTTTGTGTTCATAATCTACCGAGTGAACCACCCTACACTGTCAGTGGGAATGTAAACTGCTGCAGCAACTATGGAGAACAGAATGGAGGTTCCTTACAGAAACTAACAAAAGCGTTACCATATGATCCAGCAATCCCACTCCTGGGCATTTGTTCAGAGAAAACTCTAGTTCGAAAAGATACATGCACCCCAATGTTCACAGCAGCACCATTCACAACAGCCAAGACATGGAAGCAACTTAAATGTCCATTGACAGATGAATGGATACATATGTGGTCTATATATACAATTGAATATTACTCAGTCATAAAAAAAGAATGGGAATAATGCCATTTGCAGCAACATAGATAGATTCAGAGTAAATGATATCATTTATATCTGAATATTAAAAAATTATACAAACGAACTTATTTACAAAACAGAAACAGACAGACATAGAAAACACTTATGATTACCAAAGCAGATGGGGAGAGAATAAATTAGAAGTTTAGGATTAACGGAACCAAAGAGCCTCTTGATGAAAGTGAAAGAGGAGAGTGAAAAAGTTGGCTTAAAGCTCAACATTCATTCAGAAAACTAAGATCATGGCATCTGATCCCATCACTTCATGGCAAATAGATGGGGAAACAGTGACAGACTTTATTTGAGGAGGGCTCCAAAATCACTGCAGATGGTGGCTGCAGCCATGAAACTAAAAAACGCTTGCTCCTTGGAAGAAAAGTTATGACCAACCTAGACAGCATATTAAAAAGCAAAGACACTACTTTGCCAACAAAGGTGAGTCAGTTCAGTTGCTCAGTCGTGTCCGACTCTTTGCGACCCCATGAATCGCAGCACGCCAGGCCTCCCTGTCCATCACAAACTCTCGGAGTTTACTCAAACTCATGCCCATCGAGTCGGTGATGCCATCCAGCCATCTCATCCTCTGTCTTCCCCTTCTCCTCCTGCCCCCAATCCCTCCCAGCATCAAGGTCTTTTCCAGTGAGTCAACTCTTCGCATGAGGTGGCCAAAGTATTGGAGTTTCAGCTTCAGCATCAGTCCTTCCAATGAAAACCCAGGACAGATCTCCTTCAAGATGGACTGGTTGGATCTCCTTGCAGTCCAAGAGACTCTCAAGGGTCTTCTCCAATACCACAGTTCAAAAGCATCAATTTTTTGGCGCTCAGCTTTCTTCACAGTCCAACTCACATCCATACATGACCACTGGAAAAACCATAGCCTTGACCAGACAGACCTTTGTTGGCAAAGTAATGTCTCTGCTTTTTAATATGCTATCTAGGTTGGTCATAACTTTCCTTCCAAGAAGTAAGCGTCTTTTAATTTCATGGCTGCAGTCACCATCTGCAGTGATTTTGGAACCCCAAAAAATAAAAGTCTGACACTGTTTCCGCTGTCTCCCCATCTATTTCCCATGAGGTGATGGGACCATATGCCATGGTCTTAGTTTTCTGAATGTTGAGCGCCAACAAAGGTACGTCTAGTCAAAGCTATGGTTTTTCCAGTAGTCACGTATGGATGTGAGAGTTGGACTATAAAGAAAGCTGAGTGCCAAAGAACTGATGTTTCTGAACTGTGGTGTTGGGTAGACTCTTGAGAGTCCCTTGGACAGCAAGATCCAACCAGGCCATCCTAAAGGAAATCAGTCCTGAATATTCACTGGAAGGTCTGGTGCTAGAGCTGAAACTTCAATACTTTGGCCAACTGACTCATCTGAAAAGACCCTAATGCTGGGAAAGATCGAAGGTGGGAGGAGAAGGGGATGAGATGGTTAGATGGCCTCATTGACTCAATGAACATGAGTTTGAGTATACTCTGGGATTTGGTGATGGACAGGGAGGCCTGGCGTGCTGCAGTCCATGGGGTCACAAAGAGTCTGACACAACTGAGCGACTGAACTGAGGATTAACAGATACACACGACTACATGTAAAACAAGTAAACAAGGATCTACAGTATAGCACAGGGAACTACACTATCTTGTAATAACCTAGAAAGGAAAACAACCTGAGAAAGAATATGTATGTATATATAACTGAATCACTTTTCTATTCACTTGAAACACAACACTGTAAATTAACTATACTCAAATTTCATTTAAAAAAAAAAACTAGAAAATTTTCCTCCCAGACTGACAAGTACATTTTCCCTCTGAGACTTGTCTAGATGCACTGACAAGGGGCATCACCATTGTGATGCAGTACTCAGATGTCTGCATCTGAAACAGAACAGGGCCCTGTGGTCCTTGCCCCGCAGTCCTCAGCTTGCCTCTTCTCTGTGGAAAAACTTCAGCCAAAGAACAAGTTCAATCAGAGAAGTAAGGAAAAGCAGAAGCAAAGAAAAGCAACCAGGACAAAACAGTAACAACTTAAGTCATTAGGCAAAATCAAGGCCCTGCAGTTCCTTCTCATGTGTTAGTGATAATATTGCCTATCGCAAGCCATTCGGGTGAGCTGTCTTAGAGACTAAAACTCCCACCAGGTGGAAGAAGTTAACTCCATGATGACCAACCAGACACTAGCCATGACACAGCTGCTACAATTCTGAGACCTGGCCTTGACAAAATGTGAACAAACTGACTCTGAAACTGAAGATTAACTGTATTTAAAACAATCAAGATGACTCCAATCAGAGGACCGTCATGACGGATTTCAAGATGACTGTCAGAACTGACTCTGCTGTTTCTCCATGTAGGTGCCTCCATCCAACTAATGGAGGCGGGTGGGGAAGATCCTGTCTTTCCACAAAACTTGCCTCTTTATTGGCTTTGAGCAGTGAGCAGGTGGACCCCCACTTTGGGTAATACATCTTTCCTACACCTATAAAAGAAACTGCTTTTCACTGCTTCATTTCAATTTCACTACTATGATCCTAAAAGTATATTTACTGTCAGCATGATGCATAGAAATCCTGTTTTTTCCCCATAACCTGTTTATTTATTATTGATACTAAGGCCTTGGTAAAGGGAGCATACTCAGTAAAATGCCTAGAAGGATTATCAGCATGTGAACTCGGATTTTCCTATTATCAAAATCTGTTTGAAACAAACGGACAGCCTTAATACCACCAAAAACTGCCACACAAGCATTCTTTAAAGCACCGGGGGAGGAGTTAAATTATCCGCAACGCGAGGCAGAAAATGTAGATGCAAACAATTCAAACCCACCCTCAGGTCTTGAAAACCAACTGATTACTTAGGGAGGTGAATTTCCGGTCTCCCAAAGAACACGTCATTGAAACCCACCGACCCACAGCAAATCTTTCAAACCCACAGCTTTGAATAACCACGGAAAAGGGCACCCCGCACCGCCCCTCCGCGCCAACTGGCGCGCCCCCAACGGGCCGAGCCGGTCCCTCCGCGCGCCGCCGGCCCGCTCGGATTCACGACGGCTAACTAACCAGCTCCTTAAGTTCCTCCCCACAAGAAGTCCAGCTCAGAGGCCCGCGCCCCTCAGGCCCCTCAAGCCACAGCCGGAGCAGGTGCTGCTGCACTTACAAACCACCCGCCACTGCCGCCGCCGCTCCGCCCGCGGACCCAAAGGCTCCTGGAAAGTGTAGTTCCTTCGGCCCCTCTGCGCTTGCGCGAGCGCGCCGTTGGACACACGCAAACTACAACTCCCAGAGAAGCCCCGAAGACACCCGTTAGTGGGCGCTCGCGGCCAGGCACCGTCCGCCCGGGCGTGGGTTCGGGGCCGGAGTAGTGGGCGGCTAAGCAGCGGGGAGATGGCTGCCGCAGAGCACTTCCGGGTCCGATCACCGCCCCCCGCCCCCTTGGCCTTTGAAAACGTCGCTGGCGCTCTCGCGAGAAGTGAGTCTTCTCGTCCCTGGAAACACGCGTCTGTGGATGATCTGGTCGGGGGAGGAAGTTTTTTTGCCAAGATTTCTTTGGTTTTTGTTGTCTTTGCCAGGCGGGACCGAGTAAAGGAAGGGAGGGCAGTCGGCCACACTATTTCATGGCAAAGACAACCTTGTGATGAATTCACTGCTTGTCTTTATCGCTTGTCTTTGCTGCCTAATGCGTATTTGGCCGTGTGCACAGTAAGTGTTGAAACTATGTTATTTTGAACACTGGCGTGCAAAGCTCGAGATTTTTTTTGTTGTTGTTAATTGCCATCGCAGAGTGCTGCGTAGAAGCGGACTCAACAATGCAAGGAGCATTGTGTACACA